CAGGGCTCACACTTTGGTGTCTCTGAGTGGATGCACTGCTCTAAAGCTGTGCCTTTAACTCATTCCAGCTTCTTTCCACCCCTCAGCCCTTCCCACAGCACGAGTGGTGCATCCAGGTCACAGACATGACAAGAGCGTGGGACTTCAAGGGAGATTATTTGGGAGTTTGTTGGAATTTTTGGGGTCTTTAGGTGGGCTTTTTGAGGGAGGGAAATGTAATAACTTCTAGTTTTTCCTATTTACCTTGCAGGTTGCACTTGAGAGGATTTCAAGAAGCCTAGTTTAAAAGCTTATTTATTTAGGTAGTTAAGATGATTTTAAGAAAAAGGATTTTTAGATTGTTAGGTGATTTTAAGAAAAATAATTTTGAGTTCTTCCAATTTGCATGTGAGCAAAGGGGAGTGTCTGTAAATGTTTCTCTGATGCTACACCCCTGCCACAGGCAAAGCCCTTAATAAAAGCTTTGCTAGAGGCAATAAGGAACTGCCTGTGTGCTAGAGCTAATTTTAGAATCTCGGGCAGATTCCTGTAGCATGAGGTCTGTTCAGTGCTCAGAATTAGCTGATTTAGGAGGTAATAGGTGATCCACGAAGGGAGCAGCTCTCTTTATTGTCCTGAACTGCTGGCAAGGTGGAGTAGGTGCTGAGGAGTTTCCCAGAGTGGTGCTCAGGCCTGTTTCCCACCACGCTGCCCTCAGGAATTTTAGGAGAAATCATTTTGTGTAGCAGTGGTGATTTAGAGATTCCTTCTGCTAGTTGGCTCTGAAAGGTTGGGTTTCCTAACAGTATCATTAAGGAGCTGTAGCTTTTGTTGTAGTTGTAGATTTGCTAATGCCGTGTGTTTTTCTGCTCATAGCATGGACCCATTCATATGACTAATTTAGGTACAGGCTTCTCCAGTCAGAGTGAAATCGAGGGAGCGGCGTCGAAGGCAGCAAGTTCCTCAGGAAAGGAGAGAGAGAGGGACAGGTGAGTGAGGAATCATGGTTCTGATGCAAAACTTATTTCAGAGATGTGTTTCATGTTTTCTGAGACTTGGGGATTGTTTGGTTGCAAGTGGGGTTTTTATTTTGTATTTTGGGTTGGGTTTTTTTAATGAGAAGGGATGCAAAGATTGTCTTGTGATGCTACAGAATGAAAATTGCTTCAGTTGTGCTCCTACCTGAGTCTTGGTGTGGGTCTGGTATTTTGTCACACATTTCATTGTACTGGCCCCAGCACAGACCCTCGAAAGTCACCACTTGTTACTAATTTCATCTTGGACATTGAGCTGTGGTTGTAACTCCTTGGATATGGACATCCTTACCCTTCTTATCCATGAATCCATCCATCATCATCCATCCATCATCATCCATCCATCCATGAATTCATCCATCCATCATCATCCATCCATCCATCCATCCATCATCCATCCATCATCCATCCATCATCCATCCATCCATCATCCATCCATCCATCCATCCATCCATCCATCCATCCATCCATCCATCCATCCATCCATCCATCCAATCCATTCCTGTCCCATTTGGAAGTAAGAATTTTGGGAGAGGACAGGTAGAATCCATCACCCACTCCAGTCACAGTCACTGGATGAATCAGGGAATTTAAAATCCCAACTCCTCACGCCAAGGTCTGAGTTAGGAATTTGATTTTTATTACTTTTGTCTCTTAGCTTGGTTTAAAAAAGAACAAAAAATATTGTTTTAAACAGGCAGTTGATGCCTCCGCCAGCTTTTCCTGTCACTGGAATGAAATCGGAATCGGAAGAAAGAAAAGGTGCGGGGTCTTTACCAGGCAACCATGGTGAGTGCAATGGGTCAAATGCCCTTGCAAGTCCAGTTTCCTTTCCCAAACACCTTTCTAAGTCCATTTTCCTCTCCCAAATGGTGCTGCTTTTAACATGTGTCTGAACTGGTGGGTTTTTTTTGGCTGTTCTGTGTCAAAGTGCAAAGCAGGTGACACTGCACTGCTCTAAAATCACTCTAAAATCACTCTAAAATCACTCTAAAATCAGTGGTGCTTGCTGTGGTTATACACACAGGTTGCTTCTCCAAGCTTTAATAAATATCTGTGTGAAATGAGGGGAGTTTAATTAAGTGGGGGACTAAAGACAGGGAGATTTAACCCATCAGGCAGCACAGAATGTGGTTGTGCTGTGGCTTTGCATTGTGAGCAGCTGCCTCAGAGGCACTGAGGAACATGGGGGCAATTCTGAATTCTGCTCAGGTGGGGATTTGCACACATCTCTGAGTGCAGACAACACAAGTGCTGTCAGGATTTCTGTCAGGATTTCATCTTTTCTGTCACTCAGCAAGGGTTTGAACTCGGTCAGACTTGCAGCTCTTGAACTCTGCAGGCTTTCAGCTCTGCAGGGACATCACCCAGCCTGGTTAACCTTAGTCCTTCTGCAATCTTGCTCTCCTGTTAGCTTCCTTTTGAACAAAATTTCTACTTTTTCTTTACGTGTTGATCTCTTTAACGGGTGAAATTGCCCTCACTGAGAGCCATTTGCTAACTTTACCTTTTCTGTGTGTTTCTTTCTTGTTTCTCTGTTCTCTTACATGGTTCTGATGGATCACATGGCTGTTGCTGGTGCTGTTTCGTGTGGCCTTCGACCTTGGATGACCATTGGCCTTGTGACCTCAAAATGGTGTCCAACTAACAATTTACAATTAACATCTTTTTTTATTATTATTAACTCGTTTTTTGGGGCATTTTATCTCTTTTTTTTTTTGTTCGTTTTGTTTTTATTTTTTTCCTTCTTGGGGGGCTGGCGGTGGGGCTTGTTTTGTTTTCCCCTCCTAGATCATCAAGCCAAGAAGATGAAAACTGCAGAGAAGGGCTTTGGATTAGTGGCTTATGCTGGAGATTCATCAGATGAAGAGGAGGAACACGGTGGCCATAAAAACGCAAGTACTTTTTCACAGGGCTGGAGTTTGGGGTACCAGTACCCATCTTCACAACAGCGAGCTAAACAACAGATGCCTTTCTGGATGGCACCATAAAAAAAAAAACTACACAAGAGTTTTCATTTATCTGGTTTTTTCCCCCTCTAGCAATAATGCATGTGTATTCCACAATGGACTTGGCAAAGACGTGTTGTTTTTACATTTGCAGAAGCCAGTTTCCCCTTGGAAGGGCTCCATTGTTTTTTAAACCCTCATTTTGGCAGTGTATTTGTCAGTTTTAAAAAGGAGTATTTGGAATAGCATCCTGACTGGGCTAATCCCTTGTGCAAGGGAGAAGTGCTGTAAAGAGGAACCAGGGAAGCCTCTTGGGCCATATTTTCCATTTCTCCCAGATAACTGAAAGGGAAGAGTCAGTGACACTGACTTCACTCTGCATTTGCATTTTTGGAGTGCTCCTGCTCTCAGCCCCAGTGATCTACTGGTGACTCAGCCTCAGTTTTGGACTTTGACCAGAGGGAAGGAACACCCAACCAGCAGTCATGAAAAACTTGAGCATCACATTTGGAAAAGTCTCGTTTTTATTTCAAACATCTCCTGTAACTCAGCTTGGTTTTGTTTTGAAACGTGATTTTACCAATCCCACAAGTTCTTTCTAGCCAGATGTTGGGGTGGGGGGATGCTCAGGTTTTTGGATAGGTCCACTTTGCTCCAGGTGGACTTGGCACTACAGCCCTAGTGCTGAATTATTTCCAGTCACCCCAGGACTCACACCAACCCAGCAGCAATTCCTTTTCCAGAGGCTCACCCCATCTCTTCCCTCATTCACCGGATTCCACCAGAGCCAGAAGGTTCCACGGTGGTTTCCCAAAAGGCAGCAGCTCCTGCCTCATGTGCAGAACCTGAGAATGAATTTTTGGATCGTTGTTTCTGGACTGTTTTGGACACAAACTGCACTGGGGGCTGAGTGGGGTGGGCTGGTGCAGACAGGACTTTTGAGCAGAGCAGGGGCTGCTCCAAGGCATGGGGCAGTTTTTGGGACAGGTTTTGAGGAGGGGCTCACCTGTACAAACCTCAGCTTCCTGACGTGTTGTAAATAATTAGAACCATACTTTCATTATAAATAAATGTATAAATATTCTGCTCCCTGCTGCTGCTTTGAGGTTGGAGCAAGGTTTGGAGGAGGGAGATGCTGGGCTGGGAGAGCCCCGGGGCTGGTGGAGCCCTCGGGGATGGGAGGGGAGCCGGGCTGGGGGGTCCCCAAGGATCGGGGGGACCCCGGGCTGGGGGTTCGGTGTTGGGGGGAGCTCTGGGGATCGGGGATGGGGGAAGGAGTCGCAGGCTGGAAGGGGGGAGCGGGAACTGACAGAGCTCCCGAGATCCGGGGCTGAGGGGGTGCGGGTCTGGAGGGTGTCCCGGTGTGTCCCATCATGTCCCCGGTGTGTCCCGCCGTGTCCCGGTTGTGTCCCGGTGTATCCCCGTTGTGTCCCATTGTGTCCCCGCCGTGTCCCAGTTGTGTCCCGTGCTGTCCCCGCCATGTCCCGGTTGTGTCCCGGTGTATCCCGTTGTTTCCCCGTCCTGTTCCGTGCTGTCCCCGCCATGTCCCGGTTGTGTCCCGTGCTGTCCCCACTGTGTCCCGGTTGTGTCCCGGTGTATCCCCGTTTTGTCCCGGTTGTGTCCCGTGCTGTCCCCACTGTGTCCCGGTTGTGTCCCGGTGTATCCCCGTTTTATCCCCGCCGTGTCCCGGTGTATCCCCGCCATGTCCCGGTTGTGTCCCGCGCTGTCCCCACTGTGTCCCGGTTGTGTCCCGGTGTATCCCCGTTGTGTCCCCGCCATGTCCCGGTTGTGTCCCGTGCTGTCCCCACTGTATCCCGGTTGTGTCCCGGTGTATCCCCGTTGTGTCCCCGCCGTGTCCCGGTGTATCCCCACCGTGTCCCGGCCGTGTCCCGGTGTATCCCGTTGTGTCCCGGCCGTGTCCCGGTGTATCCCCGTGCTGTCCCGGTTGTGTCCCGCGTTGTCCCGTCCCGCCGCGTTGTGTCCCCGCCGAGCCGCCGTCGCTCCCGCCCGCTGCGCGCGCAGCCGGGGCGGGCCCGCGCGGGCGCTGAGGCGGAGGCGCCGCCGCCATTTTGGTGTCGCTGGAGCGGGGCCGGGGCGGCGGTGAGGGGCCGGCGATGGATCCCGGAGCCCGCCCGGGCGGCGGCGGCGGCCCGGGACAGTCCCGGGAGTACAAACTGGTGATGCTGGGCGCGGGCGGCGTCGGCAAGAGCGGTGAGTGCGGGGCGGGGGGAGCCGCGTTCCCGGACCAGAGCCCCGTTCTGGGCGCGGTGCCGCTCCTCCCGAGAGGAGCCGACCCCTCCCGATCCTCCCGGGGTGTCCCTGTCGAGCTGTCCCGATCCCTCCCGAGCTGTCCTGACCCATCCCGGGCAGTCCCGGTCATCGCCTTCCGCCTCCGGCCGCATCCCGGAGCTGGTCCCGCCTGGGCACGGGCGGAGCATCCCCGGGCCGGTTGCGGTCCCCGCTCTCGGTTCGGTTCTGTGCCGTGGCTGAGCTGCTCAGTTGTTGCCCGGTTTGTCTTCCAGCCATGACCATGCAGTTCATCAGTCACCGCTTCCCAGAGGACCACGACCCCACCATCGGTGAGGAAAATGTCTTTTCTGTTCATTCGTTCCCTGGGCAGGTCAAGCTCTAGCTGTCCATTGCTTTAAAGTATTAAATTGTAAGATAACTGTAAATCTGGCTGGAGATGGATCTTTGATCACTCATCAGGACGAGCATTCCCAGCAGGTCAGGGAGGGATCCAGGGAGTGCTGAACCTCTGGAGTGCCGTGTCCAGCTCTGGGAGCCTCAGCACAGCAGGGCCAGGGAGCTCCTGGAGTGGGACAGAGATGCTGAAGGGCTTTGGAGGGTCCCTGCCCAGGAAAGGCTGAGGGAGCTGGGGCTGCTCAGCCTGGAGAGGAGCCCCAGCTGAGAGGGGCCTCAGCCCTGGCTGTCCCTGGGTGTCCCTGGGTGTCCCTGGGTGTCCCTGGGTGTCCTCAGGTGTCTCTGGCTGTCCCTGGGTGTCTCTGGATTTCTGTGGGTGTCTCTGCCTGTCCCTGGGTGTCCCTGTGTGTCCCAGTCTGTCCCTGTCCATCCCTGTCTGTCCCTGTGTGTCCCTGTCCACCCCTGTCCATCCCTGTCTGTCCCTGTGTGTCCCTGTCCATCCCAGTCTGTCCCTGTCCATCCCAGTCTGTCCCAGTCCATCCCAGTCTCTCCCTGTCCATCCCAGTCTGTCCCTGGCTGTCCCTGTCCATCCCTGTGTGTCCCTGTCCATCCCTGGTTGTCCCTGTGTGTCCCTGTCCATCCCAGTCTGTCCCTGTGTGTCCCAGTCTGTCCCTGTCCATCCCAGTCTGTCCCTGTGTGTCCCTGTGTGTCCCTGTCCATCCCTGTCCATCCCTGTGTGTCCCTGTGTGTCCCTGTCCATCCCAGTCTGTCCCTGTCCATCCCTGGCTGTCCCAGTCTGTCCCTGTGTGTCCCTGTCCATCCCTGTCCATCCCAGTCTGTCCCTGTCCATCCCTGTCCATCCCAGTCTGTCCCTGTCCATCCCAGTCTGTCCCTGTCCATCCCAGTCTGTCCCTGTGTGTCCCTGTCCATCCCAGTCTGTCCCTGTCCATCCCAGTCTGTCCCTGTGTGTCCCTGTCCATCCCAGTCTGTCCCTGTGTGTCCCTGTCCATCCCTGTGTGTCCCTGTCCATCCCAGTCTGTCCCTGTCCATCCCTGTCCATCCCAGTCTGTCCCTGTGTGTCCCTGTCCATGTCTGTCTGTGTTGGCAGCCAGGGTTTGACACTGCTGCTAAACCATTTTTAGCTGTGTGCTCACAAATTCCTGACCCTGTGCTGTGATCAGCTCTTTGCTGTTCACTTGTCAGGCCAAATTGTTCCCTGTGTTTGAGAAATTGAGAGGGGTGGAATGCTCAACAACTCACTCTGGTGCTGTAGAACCTCAGCAGCATCTCCAGGAGAAACCTGAACCAACAGTTACCCAGTGGAAGAAAAAGTTGAGGGTAAAAAAACCAAATTCTTGCTGAGAATGAGTTCTTAAAGTGTGGGAGTGCTGACTGAGAGGGACAGAATATTTGTGTATTTATATATTGATAGATCATTTTTATATGGTGTTTATAATAAATAATATTTACATATATAATTATATTTACCTGTATAACATTTATGAATGAAACATATTATATGTTTTAAATATATATGAAGCATATATAATGTTTCATATATTTTGTTGATATGCTTAGAATTTTGCTGATATGCTTAGAATTCTTATAATTCTAAGAAATTATATATATCCTAAGAAATCAGCAGTTTGGTGACCAGTTCTTCTCTTGAACCACAGATCTTTTCTGGCTTTGAGGAAAACAAAATGTTACTCCTTTGTGTTTTCCACCAAGGTGACCAAAATGAATTTCTGGGCTGTGTGGCCACGATTTTCACACATGAAATGTTAAATCACACCAGAACAATTAGAAATTTAACTTCATTTAACTGAAACAAAGCTCAGATGAGGTAGTCCAGTGCTCCTGGCAGGCTGGGTGGTTTTGGGGTAGCTTTTCTTTGTGAGCTGATGAGTGCTGTGCTTGTTTCCCAATCTTTCTCATGTCCTGGGATCCAGAGGACGCCTATAAAATCCGGATTCGCATCGATGACGAACCTGCCAACCTGGATATTTTGGACACAGCAGGACAGGTGTGTGAGTAATCCCAGGTGAATGGGAGGCATTCTGTAATGATCAGGTGTGAGGACAGAAATCCTGCATAAAGAATGTTTTGGTTTGGTTTTTTATTTTTTATATTCCAAACTGGGGCTTGGAGCTCTGTCGCTTCTCAGGAGTGAATTATTATTGTAAATGCAGGTGAACCCAATGGGAAGAAATGCTGATGTCTGACTCAATTCAGAAGGCTGAATGATTTCTTTATTATAACTATGCTAAAATACATTAATGTCCTATATAAAAGGAGGATATTAAATCTAAATAATACTTTCTCTGACTCTAACTCAACTCTGTGACCCTCTCTGAGAGTCACAGAGAGTGGATTGGATTGGATTGGATTGGATTGGATTGGATTGGATTGGATTGGATTGGATTGGATTGGATTGGATTGGATTGGATTGGATTGGATTGGATTGGATTGGATTGGATTGGATTGGATTGGATTGGGTTGGATTGGGTTGGGTTGGGTTGGGTTGGATTGGATTGGATTGGATTGGCCACCAGGCTCAAACAATCCTCACCAGAATCCAACCAAGCAATCACCCCAGGTAAACAATTCTCCAAATACATTCCACATGGGAAAAACAAGGAGCAGAAATAGAAATGGTTTTCTCTTTCATTTCTCTCTGTGCACCTCTATGAAAAATCCTGAGAGGGAGAGAGAAATGTGAAGTCTAAAACGTCCTATGAGGTGAGGAAAGAAACTTCTGGGCTTTTTGAGCAGACAAAGAATAATTTAATCACTCTGTCAACAAAGACACACTCCTCCAAAATTCCAATTAGTGGCACTAAAATGGCACAAATGTGTGTTTCCAGGCAGAATTCACAGCCATGAGGGACCAGTACATGAGGGCTGGCGAGGGTTTCATCATCTGCTACTCCATCACGGACCGGCGCAGCTTCCACGAGGTGCGCGACTTCAAGCAGCTCATTTACCGCGTGCGCCGCACCGACGACACGCCCGTGGTGCTGGTGGGCAACAAGTCTGACCTGAGCCAGCTGCGCCAGGTAAGGCCCACCAGGAGCCCTCCCCAGCTGCTTTTCCTCCTGGGAAATGCAGCAGAACCACAGGGTTTTGTCCCTTTCTTCTCCCTGTGGTTTTGTTTTTTTGTGTTGTCGCTGATTTGGTGCCTGAAAAACAGGTTTTTCACCACAGCGGGCACAAAGTGTGTTGGATTGTCTGTTCCTTCTTGGGACCCTGGTTACTGAGAAATTTTGGCTTTCTGTGCTGACAGAGCAAGAGAACACTGCATTTCACCTGAGACTATGGAGAAAACTTCCAAAACTGAATAATAAAACTGAGAGGAGGAGTGCGTAGTTTGAATGGAAATGTGTAATATCACATGGTAAAGAACTCAGAGTTTAAGTGAAACAAAGTTTGTCGGGACACAGGTTAATGAGAATTTTAGACTTTCTGTGCTGGCAGAACAAGAGAACAGTCCATTTCACCTGAGGCCATAGAGAAAACTTCCAAAATTGAGCAATAGAACTGAGATTAGGAGTGTGTACTTCAAGTAGAAGTATATAATGTCACATGGTAAAGAACTCAGAGTTTAAGTGAAACAAAGTCTGTTGGATCCCTGGTTTCTGAGAATTTTAGACTTTCTGTGCTGACAGGCACTGATCCCCAAGAGAACACTGCATTTGACCTGAAGCCTTCCAAAACTGAATGACAGAACTGAGATTAGGAGTGTGTACTTCAAGTAGAAGTATATAATATCACATGGTAAAGAACTCAGAGTTTAAATGAAACAAAGTCTGTTGTATCTCTGGTTACTGAGAATTTTTGTCCACATTTTTGACTTTCTGTGCTGACAGAGCAAGAGGATGCTGCATTTCACCTGAGACCGTGGAGAAAACTTCCAAATTTGAATAATAAAACTGACATTAGGAGTGTGTAGTTTGAATAGAAGAATATAATATCACATAGTAAAGAACTTAAGAGTTTAAGGTTTTGGAATATAGTAATACATCTAAAACAAGATTGAGGTTTTAGGGTGGAGGCTGGTCCTGCTTCTTCACCTTCTTCTCCATGGGTTTGGGTGGAATCAATCCTTTGGAAACCTTTGGAGCTGGGTGGAATCCATCTGTGCTGGGGCTTGGAGTGCCCACACAGAGGGACAGAGAGCAAAACAGGGAAAGGCAAAGGAGTAAAATCCTGAGGTTTGGCTTCCCTGACAAGGGTGTGCACTCCTTTTCCAAGGAGGAAGGTTCTGCCTTAGCAGGAGAAACATTGGAGCTTGATGGAAATGTTCTGTGCTGGGGCTTGGAGCAGAGGGACAGAGAGCAAAACAGGGAAAGGCAAAGGAGTAAAATCCTGAGGTTTGGCTTCCCTGACAAGGGTGTGCACTCCTTTTCCAAGGAGGAAGGTTCTGCCTTAGCAGGAGAAACATTGGAGCTTGATGGAAATGTTCTGTGCTGGGGCTTGGAGCAGAGGGACAGAGAGCAAAACAGGGAAAGAGAAAGGAATAAAATCCTGAGGTTTGGCTTCCCTGACCACTCATTTTCCATGTGTCCAAGGAGGAAGGCTCTGTCTTAGCATGGGAAACCTTTGGAGCTTGGTGGAAATGATCTTTGCTGGGATTTGGAGTGTTCACACAGAGGGACAGAGAGCAAAACAGGCAAAGGAATAAACTCCTGGGGTTTGGCTTCCCTGACCAGGGTGTGAACTCATTTTCCAGGTGTCCAAGGAGGAAGGCTCTGCCTTGGCCCGGGAGTTCAGCTGCCCCTTCTTCGAGACGTCGGCCGCGTTCCGCTACTACATCGACGACGTTTTCCACGCGCTGGTGCGCGAGATCCGCCGCAAGGAGAAGGAGGCTGTGATGGCCATGGAGAAGAAATCCAAGCCCAAAAGCAGCGTCTGGAAAAGACTCAAGTCCCCCTTTAGGAGGAAGAAGGATTCGGTCACTTGAAGAGAAAATTCCTTTGCACAACAGGACAAAAGCTGTGACCTTTTGTAGCCAAAGGAGCTCGGTGACAACGCTGAGAGGTGACACCTGAGGGGACTTTGTGAGGGAATGGCTGCCTCTGCCCGTTGTTTTTGTTTAGAACCATGTTGCCTTGATTCTGGGGGTTGAACTTCACACCCAGTGACAGTTGTACTTTGTTTGTTGTCATTTTTTTTACTGGACCCAGCAGGTTTTGGCCGTGGGTTTGTGGCCTTGCGCTTTGGAGTGTTTGGTCACAGCACTCTGGGAGCTGAACTGTGCAAAGCATTGCTGCAGTTGGACCCAGCCTCACTGAATCTGTGTTTTTTCCCAGTTGGAAAAGAGGATTTTGCTGCTCTCCACAACAACAGCCCACAGTGTGAGAGGCTGAACAGAATTATCATGGCCTTGGAGGTCACCAAATTTCTTGTGCCCTCATGGGACAGATTTCTTTCCAGGAAAACTGAAGTGGAATATTTGTGTGCAAGCTCATCCAAGCGATCAGTTCACCAGCAGTGATAGAAACAAGCCAAAATCACAGAATAATTTCAACTGGAAATTATTATTACTGTAGGTGGGACATAAACAAGCCAGAATCACAGAATAATTTCAACTGGAAAGAATTCTGAGATCAGCAAGTCCAACCTGTGAGCCAGCACCACCCTGTGAGCCAGAGCAGAGCATTCAGTCCTTTAAACACCTCCAAAATCCTCTGGATTTTGCTGTTTAACAACAGGACAGATCACAGCTGGGTAACTCAGCAGCTTTTCTGCACCAAGTGCCTGGAATGCTTCATTTTGAAAGAGCTAATTAGACTGAAGTGATCTTCCTGATCACCTCTCAGATCTGTGCTGCACTGCCAGTGCCACCCAAACTGAAAACCCAGGTGGAAAAGAGATGGTAAAGGAAGTGAGGATTAAAAAAAAAATATATATATATGTAAAAAAACCTCCTTATTACCTAAGACAGGGATGGAAATCCTGTGCCTGTTGGTTTGAAGAATATTTTCTTTGTGGAAGACTTAAACAGAAGAGAAGTGTGGCAGGGGCTGCATCTTATATTTACTTTGTTTAACATTTAAATCGGTTTCCATTCCTCATCTCCTCCCAGTGCTGCGCTGCTCTGGCAGCAATCACACAATCAAAAATTGGCTTGGAAGAGGCTGAAGGAAAATTCAGATTGTTCAGAATTTCAGACTCTTCCCCCTTCCTGTGTGAGCAGCCATCACTGATGTTCTCATTTTTGGATTAAAAGCTGTCTAAAACTCAGATTAAAAGCCAAAAACTGGAGGAAGAGGAGGAGGAATGAGCTAAGAAGTGGCTCCAAAGCATTTTTTAGCTCTGTCAGGTGTTGCAGAGCTGGGGCCTGATGGTGATGATGCATTTTCCAGTGCTTTTCCTTAAAATCTCCATCAGCTCTCAGAGCACAGCAGAGGTGCTGAGTGCTGTACAGGACTATTTTCACCCCTAAAAAATGGAATTTTAGGTGCAGTTTAGGTGTTTACTAATGCCCTTTGCTTCTAGAATTTGTAGGGCAGAACAGCAGCCAGCACTTTTTTCACTTTTTTTTTTGTCTTTTTTTTTTTTTATGCAGTGTTATTCAAAGAGTTTTATTTTTCGTCATGTATAAATTTGTACACAGAACAATCCTTTTATTTGACACAATATATATAATTTTTAATACAAACCTTTGCACTGGATGTGTCGGTCTGTGGTGGGGTTGCTCATCCTGAGAGTGCTGTGACAAAAAAAAATGGTATTTAAGTGGTGCAAAGCCTAAAAATTCTGTGAGTCTGGTGCTGATTTGTTGAAATATGAACATTTTATCATCTAAAATTACCTCTGGTAAAATCCTACTACAGTACATCTTTCTTAATTCTATTTTTCCAAAATTATCTAATCTTATTTACAAAACTATCCTTTAAAACTTATTTTTAATTCTGTTTCTCTCTCAACAATGCCTGCCTTATTCTATAAAATTTCTAATTAATTTCTTCTCTCCAATTTACATAGAAATACCAAATATATAAATTTTCTATCGGGCTTTAAAAATTCTCTCTCTGAAATAATTCTCCTGTAGTGTCCTCATGTCCTCCAGGAGGGAGGAGGAGGAGGAAGAGAGGATGGAGGAAGAGGTGGAAGAGGAGGAGAGGATAGAGGAGGAGGATGGAGATGGAGGAAGAGGAGAAGGAGGAAGAGGAGATGGAGAAGGAGGAGATCGAGGATAGAGGAAGAGGATGGAGGAGGAGGATGAGGATGGAGGAGGAGGAGAAGGAGGAGGAGGATGGAGGAGGAGAAGGAGGAAGAGGAGGAGGAGGATGGAGAAGGAGAAGAAGAAGGAGAATGGAGGAGGAGAAGGAGGAAGAGGATGGAGAAGGATGGAGGAGAAGGAGGAAGAGGAGATGGAGGAGGAGATGATGGAGGATGAGGATGGATGAGGGGGAGGAGGAAGAGAAGAAGGAAGATGGAGGAAGAGAAGAAGGAGGATGGAGGAAGAGGAGGAGGAGATGGAGAAGAAGGAGGATGGAGGAAGAGGAGGAGGAGAGGATGGAGGAGGAGAAGGAGGAAGAGGAGGAGGAAGAGGAGATGGAGGAGGAGGAGGAGGATGGAGAGGAGGAGGAGAAGAAGGAGGATGGAGGAGAAGAAGGAGGAAGAGGAGGAGGAGGATGGAGGAGGAGGAGAAGAAGAAGGAGGATGGAGGAGGAGAAGGAGGAGGAGGAGGAGGAGAGGAAGGAGGATGGAGGAAGAGGAGGAGGATATGGAGGAGAAGAAGGAGAGGATGGAGGAGGAGGAGGATGGAGGAGGAGAAGAAGGAGAAGAAGAAGGAGGATGGAGGAGGAGGAGGAAGAGGAGGAGAGGAAGGAGGAGGAGGATGGAGAAGGAGGAGAAGGAGGATGGAGGAGAAGGAGGAAGAGGAGGAGGAGGAAGAGGAGGAGGAGGATGGAGGAGGAGAAGGATGAGAAGAAGAAGGAGGATGGAGGAGAAGAAGGAGGAGGAGGAGAAGGAGGAAGAGGAGGAGGAGGATGGAGAGGAGGAGGAGGAGAAGGAGGAAGAGGATGAGGAGGAGGAGAGGAAGGAGGACCCCGCTGCTCAGCAGCACGACCAGGGGAGGTGGGAATCGAGCAGGGCCTGAGCTGCTGAGCTTCCACGCTCTCCACAAAACCATCCCGCTTTTCACGCCTTGTCGAACCCATTCTGTTCACGCTTTTTCCCTTTCTTTTTCCTTCCTTTTATGATGCAAATCCTTTTGTTTCTGTCCGCCTGAAGGGGGTAAGAGACTGAAACCCGCTGCTTCTGAAAGGCCTGCAGTGCTGGAGTCAAGCAGAGAGGGTGAAGAGAAATTCCCTTCCACATTCTGCACAAGGAGAAGACAATCGGTGACTGTGCACTTGGGCTGAACAGTTTCTGCCAACTGCTCAATAATTCTGTTTATTGCCCAGATAAATCAGCCAAAGGGATGGAAAGGCCCTAAATCCCACCCAGTGCCACCCCTGCCATGGCAGGGACAAATGTCACTGTCCAGCCTGGCCTTGGGCACTGCCAGGGATCCGGGGGCAGCCCTGAAAAATCTGCTTTAATGCATTTAATCCCAAATGTTCCAAGATTAATGAGCTCAGGATCTCATTAACCCCCACCCCAGTTTAGGTGCGAGGGGATTTTTGGTGGGGGGAATTCTCTCACAGGATTATGGAATGGTTTGGGTTGAAATAGAATTTAAAACTTGCCCAGTTTGATGGGCAGGGACACTTCCACCATCTGTGAAACCATTCCCTGTGTCCTTGGCACTTCTGGATAATCCTTCTCTCATTTTTTTGGGTCCTGGCAGGTCACATTTAGGCCACCAGGCTGGGTCATTGGTTACCTGCAGGATCCTGCTGGGTCCTGGTGGTTTTGTTATTATATTTATATTTGAAATTATATTTGAAATTGTACCTTCTGTGGCTGCTGCTCCTGAGCCAAACATTGGAATGGAGAAAAATGAAGGATTTTCTTTCCAAAAAGTGGGGAGGAAGGAGGGATTTGTCTTTCCAAAAAATGGGGAAAAAGGAGGGATTTGTCTTTCCAGAAAATGGGGAAAAAGGAGGGATTTGTCTTTCCAGAAAATGGGGAAAAGGAGGGATTTGTCTTTCCAGAAAATGGGGGAAAAGGAGGGATTTGTCTTTCCAGAAAATGGGGAAAAATGAGGGATTTGTCTTTCCAGAAAATGGGGAAAAAGGAGGGATTTGTCTTTCCAGAAAATGGGGGAAAAGGAAGGATTTGTCTTTCCAGAAAATGGGGAAAAAGGAGGGATTTTCTTTCCAGAAAATGGGGGAAAAGGAGGGATTTGTTTTTCCAAATAATGGGGAAAAATGAGGGATTTGTCTTTCCAGAAAATGGGGAGGAAGGAGGGATTTGTCTTTCCAAAAAATGGGGAGGAAGGAGGGATTTGTCTTTCCAAAAAATGGGGAGGAAGGAGGGATTTGTCTTTCCAGAAAATGGGGGAAAAGGAGGGATTTGTTTTTCCAGAAAATGGGGAAAAAGGAGGGATTTGTCTTTCCAGAAAATGGGGAAAAGGAGGGATTTGTCTTTCCAGAAAATGGGTAAAGATGAGGGATTTGTTTTTCCCAACAATCTTTGGGTCTGCTGGTGGATTAAACCAGCACCGAGAGATAAAAGGAATAATGGGAAAGATTTCACTGATTGATGAATGGAAAAAGATATTTGCTTTTTTTACTTCTCTTTTGACAGTGCCACCAAATTCTACGAAATCAACCCAAATTATATCAAATTAAACCAAATTATACCCAATTAATGCAGCTGACTGACTGCTTTGGGCTGGGCTGAGGAGTTTTCAGTGCTGTTGGTTGTTGCCCACGGTCACACACGGCAGAGGCAGCAGAATTAAAGTGATTTAATTTTTATTTTGCACGCTCAATGTGCGTTAACAAATCCAACATACAAGGTAGCATTACAGAATGTAAGTTAGCTGATAGCATTATGCAGTTTCACACAGGTTGAGTTCGGGTTTTTTTACCTTTTTTCTTTTTTTTTTTTAATTTTATTTTTTTATTTCTCCACACAAAGTTGTAACTGTCCAAGTTCATTTTACAACAGAAGACACAAGGTAAAGAATAACCACACCTGGGAGATTTTACAGTGAGTCCGCTGTCACTTTACTGTCTATTTTATGTTTTTAAAAAATATATATATCTGCACATTTTTCAGTTTCCTATTATTCCAGAAGAGTGTTGGACCTACTCCTACCTGCCCGACAGCCTAAGTCTATTTACCCTGAGCATGTTTCCTTGACAAAAAATTCATTTTTCCTTTGCAACTAAAGGAATTTTAAGATCATCTAGGCTTAGCCATGCTTTTCACACCGAAGGGAAAAAAAAATGAATTTTTGTTGCTGCTTTTAGTCCTGGTCAGATCTTTGGAGTGGAAAGCATTTTCTGAGGAAAAAATTGTGAAAAGTTGCTTGAATTGCAACAATGCAATTGCTTAGTGCAAAAAAATGAGGATTGAAAGAGATTTACAGCAATTTCCAACGGGGGGAACTCGTTTTCTGAGCCACAGAGCTCGAGCTAGAAGGAATTTAAGAAATTTAGGAATTTAATAAATTTAAGAATTTAATAAATTTAAGAATTGAAGAAATTTAAGACGCTGAGAAAATCTACTACAACCTCAGGCAGAAATCCTGGTCATGGATGGATGAGGGGGGAAAAAATCCACATTTATGTTTGCTGAGAAATGGAGCCCCAGTGGGTGAGAAAAATCAGATTTTTACCAAAAAATGCCTTAGGAAAAGATGCCAAAGTGGTGGCAGCTGACAAAATTCTGTCAGTTCCTACAGAGCTGCTGCCTCGTGGGGAACCAGCAGAGCCTCACTCAGTTATTCCCATTTCAGGGCAGAGAAGGTGAAAAGGATCCTTTTTCCAACAGAGATGTAAAATTCAGCAGTTGAATTGTGTGAGTAGTTAAATGATTTTAATTTTTAAAATTTTAATCTGTTATTTGCATTCCTATTCGCATCCCAGAGGGCTCAGAGCAACCAAAGATTTTCCTGAAAACCTGAAGCTGTCGAGGAGCCTTTTTGCAAACCCAATTCTGCCTCTCCATTTCCACTGGAGAGCTCAGGAACAATTTGAATTATCATTATTTCTGCTCAATCCACCAAAACTGGTTCCCATGAACGATTTTGCTGCCAAATTTCATGTTTATCTGTGCCCTGGCTGGGCTCTGACCAGAACACCCAAATCCAGGATGCTCTGCTTGCATCCAGAGCAAATTTTATGAACTCCTGTCCCAAATTCCTGATTCTGCAGGGTTAAAACTCCTGTTCCAAATAAATTCCTGCCTCTGCAGGGTTAAAACTCCTGTTCCAAATAAATTCCTGTCCCTGCAGGGTTAAAACTCCTGTTCCAAATAAATTCCTGCCTCTGCAGGGTCAAAACTCCTGTCCCAAATTCCATTTTCCCCCTCGCAGGTGGTTCCCAGGCTCATAAATCAGGATTTCAGGATTCCCCCAAGCTGCCTTCAAAGCACATTTTTAGTGCCAGGCTTTGCCCTGGGTGTGGTTTTAGGTGACTGCAGGATGATGTTTGATGCAAATTGACTCCAAAAAAAGTTTTGTCACCTTTTCATGGACAAGCTCTGCCTCCAGGACCTTTTTGCCTGTCTCAGCTTTGTTTTGCCATTAAACAGAAATGTTCAGAATTTGACATGTGATGTTGAAAAGTTTCCTTACCAAGCAATGACACATCAGTTTTTGGGTTTCCTTGGGCCCTTCATGCACAGACAGGATTAAATAAAATAAACCTGAGCAGGATTTCCCCAATTCCTACAGATCCTGCCTGTGGGAGGGTGGCAACGGGATCAGTTGGTTGGGGTTTGGATTTTAAGAGTCAATTCTTGGATGTTGTGAGCTCACAGCTCCCCCAGGCCCATCACAAGGAGGATTTCCGTGCCTGACACAGAATTGTTGCTTCTCTGGAGGCCAGTGCCGTTTTCCCTGTATTTCCCTTTTGTGCCAGTGCAGAATTCAAACCCAGCTCTACATGGAAACGTGGTTGGGACTCCCAAACCAGCACAGAACAGAACTGCAAGAACCAATGGGCAGGCAAAAAACTAACAAGAAACTAGAGGTTAAAACAGCAGAATTCAGAAACTTTGGGAGAAGCCTAACGAAGACAGGCCAATCTTGGTGAATACCAGCAAAGACAGCTCGGCACAAACACAACTTCCATAGTGACAGATAATTGTATTCAAACCTGCAACTTGATATTGGCAGTTATACTAATTTCAGTTTGTAGTAGGCATGCAATAGCGTGATTACACTGTTATATATATTCGTGGTACCTTTTTTTTTTTAATTATTTATTTATCATTATTTATTCCCCATCGTTTATTTGTTTTAATGCTCCTTAGAATTTTTAGTGCCCTGCAAAAACCACATCACTAAAGAGAACCTATGGGTATTCTCAGTTTAGTCAGAGAGAACCTATGGGTATTCTCAGTTTAGTCAGGGAGAAAGGAGAGTTCCTAACCAGGCTAAAGGTTTTTAGGATCCCAGAACACAAGTAAATACAAATGCAGTGACTCCTGCCAGCTCACTCAATGCTTTGCCTGTGTCTTGTCCCACTGGGTGCATTTCACCTGGGTCCCCATCTCATCTTCCTTTTTGTGTTGCTACCCCTCTAATTTTATTCCTCTTTTCTTTGTAGATTCCCTTTCCTGGTCCTTCTGCTCATTCTCACTTATTTAAGTGGAATCCCTCTATCCCTCCTCATAATTCCTCCACTCTAACAGCTGAAATTCTCCTTGGAACGATCCTTTTGCAAGCTGGAAATGCTAAAACCTGCTTAGAAACTCTCCTTTCTCCCTGCCTAAACTGAGAACACCCATAAGAACCAACCAGCTGCTGCTCCTCAACGCCAAGTCCTTCAGTCCTACAGCTAAAACCGAGTTTGCCATCCGTCCTGGGAGGGCTCAGTACTCGCTCAGGCTGTGCCACTTGGCCACGGCTTTGCCGGGGCTGTCGCAGACCTGGCGCCAGTGCTCGGTGCCCGCGGCGCTGGCGCTGTGCGCGCCCAGGATCAGCCTGCCCACCACCTCGTTCTTGGTGGTGCGGTCGAAGTCGATCACCAGGAACTCGATGCTGATGTCGGGCAGCAGATCCACGGGGATGTCGTAGATGAAGGACTCGTTGAAGACGGGGTTCAAAGTGCACTTCTTGACGTGGGTTTTCTTCTTGGCGATGCGCTTGCGGCCGTAGTAAACGTTCACCTTGACGTAGGGGTCTGCTGGGGGGGAGAGGGAGCGACAATGACACGGCCCAGGAGAGCTCCACGTGGCACAGGCTGGCTTGGGTTAGGAGGGACTTCAAATCCCACTCCTGCCCATCCCATTCCACACCTTCCACCACCCCAGGTGGCTCCAACCCGACCTTGGGCACTGCCAGGGATGGGCAGCTCTGGTTTGGGCAAGGAGGGACTTTTAAAATACCATTCCACTCCTGCTACATCTCTCCATCCCATTCCACTCCTTCCACTACCCCAACTGGCTCCAACCCAACCTTGGGCACTGCCAGGGATGGGCACCCTGTGCCAGAGCACATGCTGGGAGTCACTGGCACACACTGGTTTGGGTTAGGAGGGACTTTAAAATCCCATTCTACTCCTCTCCATCCCATTCCACACCTTCCTCTACTCCAGGTGGCTCCAGCCTGGACTTGGGCACATCCAGGGATGGGCAGCTCTGGTTTGGGCAAGGAGGGACTTTTAAAATCCCATTCCACACCTTCCACTACTCCAAGTGGCTCCAACCCAACCTTGGGCACTGCCAGGGATGGGCAGCTCTGGGTTGGGTTAGGAGGGACTTTAAAATCCCATTCTACTCCTGCCCATCCCATCCCACACCAGGCTCCAGCCTGGCCTTGGGCACTGCCAGGGATGGGCACCCCATGCCAGGGCACAGGTTGGAGTCACTGGCACACGCTGGTTTGGGTTAGGAGGGACTTTAAAATCCCATTCCACTCCTGCTACATCTCTCCATCCCATTCCACACCTTCCACCACCCCATGTGGCTCCAACCTGGCCTTGGGCACTTCCAGGGATGGGCAGCTCTAGTTTGGGCAAGGAGGGACTTTAAAATCCCATTCTACTCCTGCCCATCCCATCCCACACCTTCCACTACCCCAGGTGGCTCCAACCCGACCTTGGGCACCAGCCAGGGCATGGCTGTGAGGCACTGGCACACACTGGTTTGGGTTAGGAGGGACTTTAAAATCCCATTCTTCTCCTGCCCATCCCATTCCAAACCTTCCTCTACTCCAGGTGGTTCCAACCCAACCTTGGGCACTGCCAGGGATGGGGACCCTGTGCCAGAGCACAGGTTGGAGTCACTGGCACACACAATGGTTTGGGCTAGGAGGGATTTTAAAATCCCATTCCACTCCTGTCCATCCCATTCCACACCTTCCTCTACTCCAGGTGGCTCCAACCCGACCTTGGGCACTGCCAGGGATGGGCAGCCCAGTTTTGGGCTGGGAGGGACTTTAAAATCCCATTCCACTCCTGCCCATCCCATCCCACACCTTCCTCTACTCCAGGTGGCTCCAACCTGGACTTGGGCACTGCCAGGGATGGGCAGCCCAGGTTTGAGCAAGGAGGGACTTTTAAAATCCCATTCCACTCCTGCTACTCCTCTCCATCCCATTCCACACCTTCCACCACCCCCTGTGGCTCCAACCCAACCTTGGGCACTGCCAGGGATGGGCAGCCCTGGTTTGGGTTAGGAGGGACTTTAAAATCCCATTCCTCTCCTGCCCATCCCATTCCAAACCTTCCTCTACTCCAGGTGGCTCCAGCCTGGCCTTGGGCAGTGCCAGGGATCCTGAGGCAGCCCTGGAAAATCTGCTTTAATGTATTTAATCCCAAGTGTTCAAGATTAATAAACTCAGGAGTTTCAGCTGCTCACCCATACCCCAGTATAGGTGCAAGGGGGTTTTTGGTGGGGGGAATTCTCTCACAGAACCATGGAATGGTTTGGGTTGAAATAGAATTTAAAACTTAACCAGTTTCATGGGCAGGGACACTTCCACCATCTGGGATGGAGCTGATTTGCTGTCAAAATAAAAACTCAATCTCTGAGCTGCTGAAAGTTTGGGTTTCCCCCCCCCAAACCTGCCCCAAGGAATGGATTTTTCATTTCCAAATGCCCAATTCTGTGCTCTGAGGTGAAGTTCTGGCACTGCTCCCCTGCTCAGCTCAGCAGGAAAATGCAGAGGGGGAATTTCAGCCTGGAAAATTTTCATTTTCATTTGGTGATTTCTTTTTGTTCCCCACACTGAGCACCCCACCCTTGTTCAGGACACAACAGAGGGTCGAGGCACTTCCAATAAATTGCAGATGGGAAATGCTGCCAGCAGAAGGTGCTGGGAAAGAATAAAAATAATAAAGTTTAAAACAAAGCCTCCCTTTTCCCCCCAGCCCTCAGGCAGCTGCTCTTTATGCAGACACTGGTGAGGATTACAATCAAGATACCAGGCACTGAGGGATTTTTTTTTTTCATTCCACACAAGTTTTGAAGGCCCTTGCCCAGCTGGCACTGCCTTTTTTCCACCTTTTTTTTTTTTTAAACCCAGCTGAAATGGGTTTATGCATAATACAAAGATATATAAATAGTGTTGGTCACACGATTCTGCTGGTAGAACAGCACTGAAAATTTTATCCTGTGGTTGGAGACTACACATGCACAGCTTTTTCTTTTTCTTTTTTTTTTTTTTTCCTTAAAGAAAGGGTAAAATGTAGGGTCTACTAGTCTGCATTCCAGGAGAAAGCTGCAAAACCAGGACTAGGTTTGCTCTCAGTCAGGCTCTTACTGACTCAAATTAATTCCAACCATTTCCCCACAATCCTGAAGGAGACTTTGCTCAGGGGATCCAGGAGTGTGAAAATCTGGGAAACACCAAAGCCAGAACAGCTGCTCCCCTCTCTCCAAACAGCACAAGAACAACAGAAATGAAAACACCCAAAACCAGAATTTTTGGGAGCAGAACTCGACTTCCCCTGGCTGTGCAGAGCCACAGGGTCCCCCCTGAGCCTCCTTTTCTCCAGGATGGGCCTCTTCCCAACTCCCTCAGGAATTCTCCAGCTCCCTCAGGAATTCTCCAGCCCCTTCCCAACTCCCTCAGGAATTCCCTCAGCTCCTTCCCAGCTCCCTCAAGAATTCCCTCAGCTCCTTCCCAACTCCCTCAGGAATTCTCCATCCCCTTCCCAGCTCCCTCAGGAATTCTCCATCCCCTTCCCAACTCCCTCAGGAATTCTCCATCCCCTTCCCAACTCCCTCAGGAATTCTCCAGCTCCTCCCCAGCTCCCTCAGGAATTCTCCATCCCTTTCCCAGCTCCCTCAGGAATTCTCCAGCTCCTCCCCAGCTCCCTCAGGAATTCTCCATCCCTTTCCCAGCTCCCTCAGGAATTCTCCAGCTCCCTCAGGAATTCCCTCAGCCCCTTCCCAGCTCCCTCAGGAATTCTCCATCCCTTTTCCCAACTCCCCTAGGGGATTCTCCAGCCCCTTCCCAACTCCCTCAGGAATTCTCCTTCCCCTTCCCAGCTCCCTCAGGAATTCTCCAGCTCCCTCAGGAATTCTCCAGCCCCTTCCCAACTCCCTCAGGAATTCTCCAGGAATTCTCCAACTCCCTCAGCTCCTTCCCATCTCCCTCAGGAATTCTCCAGCCCCTTCTCAGCTCCCTCAGGAATTCTCCAGCTCCCTCAGGAATTCTCCAGCTCCCTCAGGAATTCTCCAGCTCCCTCAGGAATTCTCCAGCCCCTTCCCAGCTCCCTCAGGAATTCCCTCAGCTCCTTCCCAACTCCCTCAGGAATTCCCTCAGCCCCTTCCCAACTCCCTCAGGAATTCTCCAGCCCCTTCCCAGCTCCCTCAGGAATTCTCCATCCCTTTTCCCAACTCCCTCAGGAATTCTCCAGCCCCCTCCCAGCTCCCTCAGGAATTCCCTCAGCTCCTTCCCAGCTCCCTCAGGAATTCTCCAGCCCCTTCCCAACTCCCTCAGGAATTCTCCAGCCTTTCCCAGCTCCCTCAGGAATTCCCTCAGCTCCTTCCCAGCTCCCTCAGGAATTCTCCAGCCCTTTCCCAAGTCCCTCAGGAATTCTCCATCCCTTTCCCAGCTCCCTCAGGAATTCTCCATCCCCTTCCCAGCTCCCTCAGGAATTCTCCAGCTCCCTCAGGAATTCTCCAGCTCCTTCCCAGCTCCCTCAGGAATTCTCCAGCCTTTCCCAGCTCCCTCAGGAATTCTCCAGCCCCTTCCCAGCTCCCTCAGGAATTCTCCAGCCCCTTCCCAACTCCCTCAAGAATTTCCTCAGCTCCTTCCCAGCTCCCTCAGGAATTCTCCATCCCTTTTCCCAGCTCCCTCAGGAATTCCCTCAGCTCCTTCCCAGCTCCCTCAGGAATTCTCCAGCCCTTCCCAGCCCCTCCAGGTCTTTCTTGTCATGAGAAAACCCAAAATTGACCCCAGGATTTGAGGCTCCTCAGCAGTGCCCAGCACAGGGGATGGGCACTGCCCTGGTCCTGTGCCACCTGGGCACACCTGGGCACACCTGGGCACACCTGGGCACACCTGGTTGGTGTCCAGCCCCTCCAGGCAGGACCATTCCCATTTTTCCTCACACCATTGACCTCATCCCATGGATCCCATGGATCCAGAGAGTTCTGCACCCAGCACAAAGCCTGCATGAAGTGCTCCCAGCAGAAAGAATTTGGGCTGGTCTGCACAACCACCTGCAGCAAACCAAAACCCTTAAGAAGAACTTGAGGAAAAACATGTATACAGCCAAAATCTTCAGCTAAAACAAAGGCAAAACCCTGCAGGTGAACTTGGGGGTTTATGTTTTGCCCAAACACTCAAAGCTGGAGAAAATAGCTTCTACCTGAGAGGCCAGTGATGTCCATCTTTGGCAAATGCCTGGCTTTCAGCACCACCACGGTCATCCTCTGTGCCACGGGCTGGTAGGACAGGGACACCTGCAGCTCCCCTCTGCTGATGCATTTCTGCAGGGAGAAACACACGGAGAACTCCTTAGGACAATGACACCTCCCCAGAATTTCCTTTCCTTGCGTTAAATGCCCGAAAAATGGGAAAATAAATCCCAGGTGCCTCAGCTGCAGAAGGGGAAGCACCTCGTGCTCACCCCACAGCTGGGAGCACCCTGGAACTCTGAATTTCTAGGAGGGAAAACCTGGTGGGACCTTCTGAGAGAGGAGTGGCCTTGGGGGAGCAGTTACCAGAGGGCTCTGAGGGGTTTAGGAGCTCAAATTCCACTGATTTTTTTGGGGTTTCAGTAGCTGAACCCCTCTTCAGGACTGTCCTGACAGGTTCACAAAGCCTGCCTTTGGGGATCTGTTACCAAAAGGCTCTGAGGGGTTTAGGAGCTCAAATTGCACTGATTTTTTTGGGGTTTCAATTGCTGAACCTCTCTTTAGGACTGTGGTGACAGTTTTACCAAGACTACCCTGGGGAATCTGTTACCAAAAGGCTCTGAGGGGTTTAGGAGCTCAAATTCCACTGATTTTTTTGTGGGGTTTCATTTCAGGAGTGTCCTGTTTTATTATTATAAAAATAATAAAACATAATAAAAATAATAAAATAGAATAAAACATAATAAAAATAATAAAATAGAATAAAACATAATAAAAATAATAAAATAGAATAAAATACAACACAAATAATAGAATAAATAGAAGAACATATAATAAAATACAATACAAATAATAGAGTAAATATAATAACGTATCATAATAAAGAATAAAATACAATAAAAATATTATACAATAAAAATAATAAAATATAATAAAGTATAATGAAATATAATAGAAATAAGAAAATATAATAAAATGTAATAAATAGATATAATAAAAATCAAGAATAAATATAAAAATAAATAACATAAAAATAAATAACATAAAAATAAAGAAATAAAATTAAAGATATATGAAATGTATAACAAGTTATAATAAATATATACCAAATTATAATAAATGTATAACTAATTTTAATAAATATATAATAAATTATCATAAATATATAATAAATTATAATAAATAATATATTCCTGGGCCTGGAATAGAAATGTTTGGAACTTTTTTTGAGCATGCACATCTGGCACCAAGATAAATCAATTTTCGATTAGTAACAAATGTTAAATAATTTGCATCCTCGATTAAAATTATTAATCTTTAAATCTATTTTTCCCTCTGTTTTTAAGCTATTACTTCTAAGAGATCCAGTCAATACACTGAAAAAAAAATATATTAAAGGCCACTTGTTTTATCATCATGTAAAGCTTCCCTAGAACTGAAGAACAGCAAAGGAATTACCAGAACTCTTATTTTTTTTTGGGGTAATTGACATAGAATCTCCTATAAAAATAATAAAAAAGGAAAAAAAAATTAAAAAAAGCTAAACACTCCATAAAGTAGAAACATTTCAAGTTAAATAATGTTTTTCTAGGACATAAGGAAGAATTCCTTTTGTTTTTGAACCTGGGAGATGATGGGCAGCAGAAATCAACAGAGCAAGAAGATTAAAATCTGAATTATCTCCTCCTCTTGAGCACCCAAACATCTGCTCATCCTTTTGTTTACACCACCAGGCACTAAGAGTGGGATTTATTTCACCCAGATTTTCGATGTCTCAATTTTTGGTTTTTTTTTTGCATTTTGTTCCCTATCCAACCCATCTCAGGTGGGATTCCCGGGGAATCCGGTCAGGCATTTTACAGCCACATTTCAGTGTAAATAATTCCAAATATTTGGGTTTAAAGTGGTCAGATCAGAGAAATCTCCCTCTCTCAGTGAGGTTTGAATGTCCTATTATGGGAATTTGCCTTTTTTTTGGCACATCCATCATAAAATTCATCACTGCTGTGACAAAACCTCATCCATTTGCCATCATCACAGAGCAGAGAAATACCCAGCTAAAACCACAGCCATAGCTCACCAAAAATATGCATTTGTGGAAAAAACAGAATTTAAAAACGGGTTTCATGGCTGAGGATCAGCATCATTCCTGCTTTTTAAACCTTAGAGGCTTTCAGATCAAAAGCTCTGAGATCTAACACAGCCATACCACACCAAAAATATGTATTTGTGGAAAAAACAGAATTTAAAAACAGCTTTCATGGCTGAGGATCTGCATCATTCCCATTTGTTAAACCATGGAGGCTCCCAGATCAAAATAATGGGGATCAAACATAGCTATATTTCACCAAAAATATGTATTTGTGGAAAAAACAGAATTTATGGCTGAGGATCTGCATCATTCCTGCTTGTTAAACCATGGATTCTCCTGGATAAAAACATCTGGGGTAAAACACAGCCATATCACACCAAAAATATGTATTTGTGGAAAAAACAGAATTAATGGCTAAGGATCTGCATCATTCCTGCTTTTTAAACCACTGAGGCTCCTGGATCAAAAGCTCTGGGGTCAAACACAGCCATATTTCACCAAAAATATGTATTTGTGGAAAAAACAGAATTAAAAACAGATTTCATGGCTGAGGATCTGCATCATTCCTGCTTGTTAAACCATGGATGCTCCTGGATAAAAACATCTGGGGTAAAACACAACCATATAACACAAAATGTATGTATTTGTGGAAAAAACAGAATTTATGGCTGAGGATCTGAATAATTCCTGCTTGTTAAACCACTGAGGTTCCCTAATCAAAATCTCTGGGATCAAACACAGCCATATCACACCAAAAATGTGCATTTGTGGAAAAAACAGAATTAAAAACAGCTTTCATGGCTGAGGATCTGCATCATTCCTGCTTGTTAAACCATGGATGCTCCTGGATAAAAACATTTGGCATAAAGCACAGCCATATAACACAAAATACATGTATTTGTAGAAAAAATAGAATTTATGGCTGAGGATCTGCATCATTCCTGCTTGTTAAACCGTGGAGGCTCCTGGATCAAAATTGCTGGGGTCAAACACAGCCATATCACACCAAAAATATGTATTTATGGAAAAAATAGAATTTATGGCTGAGGATCTACATCATTCCTGTTTGTTATACCATGGAGGCTCCTGGATCAAAATCACTGGGGTCAAACACAGCCAAATCTCACCAAAAATATGGATTTGTGGAAAAAACAGAATTTATGGCTGAGGATCTGAATAATTCCTGCTTTTTAAACCACTGAGGCTCCCAAATCAAAATCTCTGGGGTAAAAGACAGTGCACAAAAAGTCACCCTACATGGAAATAGGGTGAACCTACTCACTTGTATGTTCCTTTTGAGGATCTCCCTGATCAGCTGCACCCTGCCAGTGCTGGGATCCACCCCTGAAAGGTGGATATATCACACCAAAAATATGTATTTGTGGAAAAAACAGAATTTATGGCTGAGGAGCTGCATCATTCCTGCTTGTTAGACCACTGAGGCTCCTGAGTCAAAATTGCTGGGGTCAAACACAACCATATCACACCAAAAATATGTATTTATGGAAAAAATAGAATTTATGGTTGAGGATCTGCATCATTCCTGCTTGTTAAGCCATGGAGCCTCCTGGATGAAAAGCTCTGGGCTCAAACACAACCGTATCACACCAAAAATGTGCAGTTGTGGAAAAAACACAATTAATAGCTGAAGATCTGTATAATTCCTGCTAATTAAACCACTGAGGCTCCTAGATCAAAATCTTTGGGATCAAACACAGCCATAACACCAAAAATATGTATTTGTGGAAAAAACAGAATTTATGGCTGATGATCTGCATCATTCCTGCTTGTTAACCACTGAGGCTCCCAGATCAAAATCTGTGGGATCAAACACACAATATGCATTTGTGGAAAAACCTGAATTTATGGCTGAGGATTTGCATCATTCCTGCTTGTTAGACCACTGAGGCTCCCAAATCAAAATCTCTGGGATAAAAGACAGTGCACAAAAAGTCACCCTACATGGAAACAGGGTGAACATACTCACTTGTATGTTCCTTTTGAGGATCTCCCTGGTCAGCTGCACCTTGCCAGTGCTGGGATCCACCCCTGCCAGGGGCACCATCACCTCCCCGATCACATCATCGCGGGAGAAGCGGTCGAAGCTGAGCACCAGGAAATGCAGCACCAGGTCCTGCAGCTGGCTGTAGGGGATCCCGTAGAAGGTGAAGGTCTCGTCGAAAACGGGCTCCAGGGTCTTGCGGAGCACGCGGGTCTTGACGCGGTGCCTCTTGTCGGGCAGAATTGTCATCTTGATGTAAGGGTCGGAGCTCTGCGTGTGCTCGTCCATCACGGGCAGCCCGTGAGCCTCCTGGATGGTGACCACCAGAGCTTTTTTGGGGAAGTTGTAGTCCACTGAGAAAGTCAGGTCTCCCAGCAGGACGTCGTCGCCCGGGGAAGAAGGAGAGGAGGTTTTGCTCCCTCCCGGAGTGAGGCTTTGATCTGGGCTGAGTTCATCTCCATAATCGACTTTGATGGGGAGCTGGTCGACCTGGGGGGGTCCATCTGGAGCTTTGGTGGGGCCCATCAAGCCAGACTCAGCAGCATCCACCAGGAGGTTCCCCCTGCCCCCCTCTTTGTCTCTCCGGATCCGGTTGATTTTCTTCTTGTTGCTCAAGGTCTCCGGGTAGATGCTGATGCCTTTCAGCATGTGGATGAATTTGTAGGGGGGGGTTTTGTGCTTCTTTTCTGCTTGCTGGTGACAGCATGTCCACACAAAGACTGTGACTGAGACAGAAACCACCAGCACGGTGGCTCCAATGAGTCCTGCCACCACGGGGGACACATCTGCGGGGAGACAAGGCAGTGAGGAGCAGCACACCTGCAGATCTACACACTCTTCATTCTGGGATCTATCACAGCTTCCCCACACATCCCTGCTGGTCTCTAAATTTATTTATCACGCTCCTAAGGCGTGCCTGACCTGTGTTCCATGAGCTCAGGAGCTCAAACTGTTGATTGCCTTATCTTGCCAAACCCAGCTCCTGCATCACCAGCATCTCCATAGGAACACGGGCTCTCGATGTGCAGGAAGCATGTTCCTTTGATTTTTTTAATGCCCTGTTCAGGAACGTTACACAACTCTATTTTCACTACAGGGAAGGAGTAATAAATCTGGCCACGATGCTGGATTTGAGATATCCTTCATTAATGATTTTTAAAATATCCCTTTGCCTTGAAATGGTTGTTTTGCTGAAGTCAGGGGTAAACCTGAATTCTCCCAGTGTCCAAACCAACAGACTGAAAACCTCCTTTGAAACCCAATATTTGCTAAGGATACCCCAATGGTGGCTAATGGTTAAATGGTGACAGCACGTGCATCCCAGGAAACACACGGTAAGAGGGAAGTGGGGTCATTTTCCAGGAGATAAATGGTGCTGGATGGAGGAATATCCAAAAATACTTCGGGATTCAGAGGTTCTCGGCACCAAAATCATCCCAAACCCCAAAAATTCTCAGCATCAAAATCATCCCAAACCCCAGCAGTTCTCACACCAAAATCATCCCAAACCCCAGCGGTTCTTATCACCAAAATCATCCCAAACCCCAACAGTTCTTGTCACCAAAATCATCCCAAACCCCAGCGGTTCCCGGCCCTACGCCGCCGGGCTGGGCCCTTACGGGGCTCAGCGGCGTTTGGAGCCTCTCCATCACCCCCGCGGCGCTCCCGGTACCGGCTCCCGGCTCCGCCCGGTCCGCTTCCCCCTCCCCGAGCATCCCCCGGTGCCCCGGGCGGGCCCCGCCTCGCGGCGCCGGTGCCGGTGCCGCAGCCGCCCCGGGGATCGCGAACAAAGGCCGGGGCGCGGCGCGGCCCGGCACAGACATCACGTCATCCGCCCGGTCTGCACCTGCCACCGGGCCCCGCTCCGCCAGCGACCGCCGGTACCGGCACCGGCACCGCCCCAGCAGCGGCGGCAGCAGCACCGCGGGGGCGGAGGGGCCGCGGGATGCTCGGGGACCGGGGGATGCGGAGGCACCGGGGGATGCCCAGGGACCGGGGGATGCTGAAGGGTTGAGGGATGCTGAGGCACCGGGGGATGCGGAGGCCCGGGAGCGGCGCTCCCATCCCCGCGCACGGCCCGGCCCCGGTTGCGCCTCTCGGTACCCCACCGGAGCGGCCCGGCCGCACTCACCGAAGCCGGGGTGGACACTGGTGATCTCGGCCATGGCCCCGCCGAGGCCGGGGCCGCGGGGGTGCGGGGCCCGGTGCGGAGATGCTGCCGGCCGGGATGCAGGAGCTGCCGACCGGTCCCGCTGCGGCGCTCGCCCCGCCCGGCCCCGCCCCGCCCGCGGCGGCCCCGCCCGGCGGTGACTCGGCAACTGGCGGGGCACGGGCAGCCGTGGGGCTGTGCCCGCCGGGTCTGAGCCCCGCTTGTGTCTGAGCCCCGCTCCCACCGGCAGCACCGGGCGGACCCGCGGGGGACACCGGGTGGGGGGCGGGTGTGTGAACGCGGCTCTGTGTGTGTGTGAGGGGTCGCACAGCGAAGATGGCGGTGACCGCGCTCGGTGCCCCCCCCACCCCCTCACGGCTCCGCCTCACCGGGGCCCCGGCGGGGACCGGCGGCGGGCGCGCATGCGCGGGGCGAGCACCGGGCGCTTCCGTTTCCTGCGCGGGCAGCGGGACCGGGGCGGCACCGGGCGGCCCGAACGGGACCGGAGCCCCGCCATGGCTCTAGCGCTGAAGATGCTGCCCTGCAAGAAGCGCAGAGCGGCGGGGCCGCCCAGCCCAAGGGAGCGCGGGGAGGACGCGGAGCTGCCCGGAGGCTCCGGTGTTCCCGACGGGAAGGGCCCCGCGGGAACGGAGGCCTCGCCGAAGAGCGGGAGGAAGGGCGCCGTGAGGGCGGCGCTGAGCACCGGGCAGGAGCTCCCCGCGGGCCCCGGCAGCCCGGCGGCGGCGGCGGAAGGTACCGGGAGGAGGGGCGGCTTTGCGCTTTAGGATTTTGTGTTTATTTTGTTCCCGATTTTTTTTTTTTCCCTATAAAGTGTTATATATTAAAATGAGGTTTTCCCCCGTGTTTTCTCATCCTTGGAAGTGACCGAGGCGGGGTTGGACGGGAGGTGGAGCAGGCTGGGGTGGTGGAAGGTGTCCCTGCCGTGGCTGGGGTGGGATTTGTGGATTTATGGATTTATGGATTTATGGATTTATGTTCGCTTCCCACACGAACCGGTCTGTGATTAGATGGGAAAGGCTCCCGGGCTGAGGAAGGGAGATGAGGGGATTGGAACATCTCTGTCGCAAGGAAAGGCTGAGGGAGCTGGGGATGCTCAGCCTGGAGAGGAGCCCCAGCTGAGAGGGGCCTCAGTCCTGGGTGTCCCTGGATGTCCCTGGGTGTCCCTGGATGCGTATGGGTATCCATGTCTGTCCCTGAGTGTCCTCAGGTGTCTCTGTGTGTCCCTGGATGTCCATGAGTGTCCCTGCGTGCCCTCAGGTGTCCCTGGGTGTCTCTGGATTTCCGTGGATGTCCCTGGCTGTCTCTGGGTTTCCCTCGATGTCCTCAGGTGTTTCTGGGTCTCTGTCTGTCCCTGTCTGTCCGTGGGTTTCCATGGATGTCCTCAGTTGTCTCTGGGTGTCCCTGGATGTCTGTGGATTTCCGTGGGTGTCCCCGAGTGTCCATGTCTTTCCCTGGGTGTCTCTGGGTTTCTATGGCTGTCTCTGAGTGTCCTCAGGTGTCTCTCGGTGTCTCTGAGTGTCCCTGGGTTTCTGTGGATGTCCCTGAGTGTCTCTGGGTGTCCTCAGGTGTCTCTGTCGGTTCCTGTGTGTCCCTGGGTTTCCGTGGATGTCTCTGGGGGTCTCTGGGGGGTCTCTTGATTTCCGTGGCTGTCCCTGAGTGTCCCTGGCTGTTTCTGGGTTTCCATGGATGTCCCTGAGTGTCCCTGGCTGTCCCTGTTTCTCTCTGGGTATCTCTGTCCATGCCTGGCTGTCCCTGTCTGTCCCTGTCCATCCCTGGCTGTCCCTGTGTGTCTCTGGATTTCCATGGGTGTCCCTCTTTGTCCCTGTGTGTCCCTGTCCGTCCCTGTCCGTCCCAGTCTGTCCCAGTCCCTCCCAGTCCCTCCCAGTCCCTCCCAGTCCCTCCCTGTCCCTCCCTGTCCCTCCCTGTCCCTCCCTGTCCCTCCCTGTCCCTCCCTGTCCCTCCCTGTCCCTCCCTGTGTGTCCCTGTCCCTCCCTGTGTGTCCCTGTCCATCCCTGTCCATCCCTGTCCATCCCTGTCCATCCCTGTCCATCCCTGTCCATCCCTGTCCATCCCTGCCCATCCCTGCCCATCCCTGCCCGTCCCAGTCTGTCCCTGTCCATCCCTGTCCATCCCTGTCCATCCCTGTCCATCCCTGTCCATCCCTGCCTGTCCCAGTCTGTCCCTGTCCATCCCAGTCCATCCCTGTCCATCCCAGTCCATCCCAGTCCATCCCTGCCCATCCCTGTCCATCCCTGCCCATCCCTGTCCATTCCTGTCCATCCCTGTCCATCCCTGTCCATCCCAGTCTGTCCCTGCCTGTCCCAGTCTGTCCCAGTCTGTCCCTGTCCATCCCAGTCTGTCCCTGGCTGTCCCTGTGTCCCCCAGGCTCTGCTCCAGCCCCAGCCATGGCCCCAGAGCCCCGGGCAGGGCTGAGCCCAGGAGCTGCCCCTGCCCAGGAGGCAGAACTGCTGCCCTGGGCAGTGCCAGCCCTGAGCAGAGCCCAGCGAGGCTGTGGAGCCTCCAGAGCCGCCTGGCCACCATCCTGTGCCCCGTGCCCTGGGGTGGCCCTGCCTGCACAGGGTGGCACAGGTGACCCACTGTGGCCCTTCAGATTTGATGGGTTCTGTGATTCTCAGTGGGAATCATCTCTGGTTCTTGTGCTGCTGTGGTGAGCTCCCTGATTTGTCTGCAAGCTGAGTTTGTGTCAAGGAAGGAGGTCGAACAGGACAGTTCCCAGTTGTTTTCTTGGCTGTGGGCCTGCCCAGAGCAGGAGAGGAAGGGTTTGAAGGGTTTGTAGCCACCCCTGCAGCCATGTGGGTTCATTAGCCCACAGTGGCCATGGAAATGCATCCCAAGTGTGCTGTTCCAGCTGGGAATAACCCCCTGGCTGTGCCTGCCCCTCCTGTGGCAGGAGCATTTGTACAACAGGGACTACAACCACATTTTGGAGGAATCCCCAGGTTCTGGCAGCTGGCTGATGTGACAGGGGCAGGTTTGAGCCCAGCTGATAGTGAGGGAGCAATGCTGAAACAGCTGCAATGGGATCTCTGTGCCTGGGGCTGTTTCCAGCAGGATGGAGCTGCTGCTGCCCTGTGCAGCTGCATCACACCTATGGCTGTTGGTTTGATGTGTTTGAATGGGAAATTCAGTGGGAAACAAATGGAAAATTAATTTGTTAGGAGTAGCACACACATAACAAATGTGTTATCTTTGTGGCCTACCTGCCTACAGCTGGGTGTTCTGTTTCCAGGGAAGATCCCTAAGCTGTACACAGAGGTGGAAGTGAATTCTCAGCGGGATCCATATCCAAGTGAGAACCCTGGTGCAGTGCCAGAGTCTCCAGGGAGAAGCTCCCTGCAGATTTCTGCTGCCAGGGTTCCCACCACGGTAAAGCCACCGAAGAACACCAGAGCTGGTGAGTGATCCCAGCAGAGTGATGAGGAAAATTTGGATTTGGGGTTGTTTTGGATAAATCTGGCTGATACAACAAACTGTGGAATTGTGAAGATTGTGGGGGCTGTGTAGATGTAGGGTTTTAAAAAAATTTCATCTTGTGCTCCATAATTCAGTGTCCCAGTGGAACTCGCTGGAGTTGATCTCTGCAATTTTTGGTTACTAAAAATCACTGCTCTGCTTCAGAGAAAATGAGACAGCAAAGCAGGAAAACCCTTTTTAAGTCCTGGAAACTGTACCCCGTTCTTGCAATGCGAATTTTTGCAAGGGGAATCTTTGGAAGAAGAGTCTTGCAAGGGGAATCTTGTGAGGGGAATCTTTGCAAGAATCTTGCAAGGGAAATCTTTGCAAGAGGAGTCTTGCAAGGGGAGTCTTTGCAGGAGTCTTGCAAGAAGAATATTTGCAAGAATCTTGCAAGAAGAGTCTTGCATGGGGAATCTTTGCAAGGGAGGAGTCTTTCAAGGGAAATCTTTGCAAGGGGAAATATTTGCAAGAGTCTGCAAGGGGAATCTTTGCAAGAAGAGTGTTGCAAGGAGAATCTTTGCAAGAGAAGTCCTGTAAGAGGAATCTTGACAAGAATCTTGCAAGGGGAGTCTTTGCAAGAAGAGTCTTTGCAAGGAGAATCTTTGCAAGAGGAGTCTTGCATGGGGAATCTTTGCGAGGGGAATCTTGCAAGAATCTTGGAAGGGGAATCTTTGCAAGGGGAGTTTTTGCAAGGGGAATCTTTGCAAGGGGAATCTTGCAAGTTTTTTTGCAGAATTCCAGTTTGTGCTTCTTTTCAACCTCCTCCTCTCACAAAGGGACCAATGTTTTCCATTCCATTTCTGCTGATTTTCAGAGGAACAGGACGGGGAGGATGGCGAGAAGAGGAAGAGGAGGAGGAAGGCAAGCAAACGGAAAAGAGAAGGGAAAAGCTTGGAAGAAGAGGGTTCCTTGTCCTGTGACATCAAGCTGGACGAGTCCCTGGACCGAACCCTGGAAGATGGAGCCAAGCAGCACAACCTGACCGTGGTCAACGTCAGGAACATCCTGCACGTGAGTGTGGTGGCTCTTGGATTCCTCATTCTTGCTCTGTTGGAGTTGTGGCTGCTGAGAAATTCACATTTTCTGTGCTGACAGACTCTGGCTCCCAGGAGAGCACTGCGTTTGACCTGAGGCTGTGGAGAAAAAATCCAAAATTGAATGATAGAACTGAGATTGTGGGTGTGGAGTTGATTGGAAGGGTGTGATATCACAGGGTGGAAAACATAGGGTTTGGGGTTTTAGAATATAGTAATATACATAGAGCAAGATGGAGGCTTTAGAGCAGGGGCAGGTTCTTCTTCCAATTTCCCCCCCTTTTTTCCCCCCCTTTTCCCCCCCCCTTTTTTTCCCCCCTTTTTTCTCTCTGCTGGGAATTTTTTCTGGGGAGCATTCCCAAAGAACATAGTGCAAATTACTGCCGTGATTTAAATTTTAAATTAATTAATTTATTTAAAATAATAAAAAATAATTTATTTTAAATTAATTCATTTAAATTGGACTGTCTGATCCCTGAACAGTTATTTTTGCTGCAGTGTAATTACAAAACCTGGGAGAAATACAATGAGTATTTCCCCATTGTATTTCCAGGTAGTTTATTCCAACACTTGTATTATCTGTTTCTCTTTGATAAACATCCTGGTTTTGTGTGTTCCTTTAGGAAGTGATCACAAATGAGCACGTGGTGGCCATGGTGAAAGCAGCCATCAGTGAGACAGAAGATATTCCTTTGTTTGTAAGTTAAAAGTTTGTAAGTTAAACTTGCTCAGTTTGTTTTATCATTTATTCCAAATGCACAGAGCCTTCCTGGGCCATAATGGGATGTAGAACAAAAAAGTAATTTACCTGTTATAATAATTGGATTTCATGATCAGATTTGCCACCTGGATGAAGTGAGTAGTGTCTGAGTGTAAATTATGAGACAGAAACAGGAGGAGTTATTTTTGAGGTGTCTGAAAGGTAATTAATTTCAAGGTAGTGAATTTAAAGGCAATGAATTTTAAAAAAGAGAAAAGCTTCCTAGTAAGCTATGCTTTACTCACAGTAACTTTACTGATAGTAAAGAGCTGCTGGGGAAAAGTCTGTAATTAAGTTAAGGCCTGAATTTGTTGCTTTTATCTTGTTTTAAACTCTCAGGAGCCTAAAATGACTCGTTCCAAACTGAAGGAAGTGGTGGAGAAAGGAGGGGTGAGTAAATCATTCTGCTCTTGCTGACAGTGACAGCAGCCCAGGGAATGGCTGGATAGAGGAAAAGCTTCTTCCCCCAGAGGAGCTGGGAATGGTCCCAGCCCCAGGAGGGTTTGGACAATGCTCCCAGGGGTGCTCAGGATGGGATTTTTGGGTGTTTGTGCAGGGCCAGGAGTTGGACTCATCATCCTTGTCCCTTCCAGCTCAGCCTGTCCTGTTGTTCTGTGAATGTTTTTTGTTTTTGGACTCATCATCCTTGTCCCTTCCTGCTCAGCCTGTCCTGTTGTTCTGTGGTTTTTTGGGTTTTTTTTTTTGTGTGACCCTCTAAGAGAAGCATAAATGTAATTCGAGTCTCGAAGTGCAAAGAATCAGTCAAGGCAGTGTTAAGAAAGGATTAATTTGAGCTGAGCAGGTCAGGCTTGACAAGGACAGTGAACTCCCAGTGTCCATTGTCCTGAATTCCCTTCCTGGAGATCCCAAGGGAGATTTGAAGGTTTTGTTTGAGCTCTGTTGTTGCTTGGCCACTGTGGAGATCGAGGTCACAAGCTCAGGTGCTCCTCAGATTGATGACACTGACCCTGCCTGTGTCACACAGCCCAAGTGGTTTTTTGCTGTCCCTAGGTGATTCCAACGTGGAATATTTCTCCAATTAAGAAGGCAAACGAGGTGAAGGTAAGTGAATTATTGCTGGGAAAGGGGAGATCATACTGGAGGCTTCCTGCTGAGGCAGAGATCTTTTGGAGGGCTGGAGCAGACTCGTGTGCTAAAACCATCTCTGAGCTGGTGTCTGCTCATGCAGTTTCCCTCAGATAAATATTAAATTATTTGTGCCTGTTTTTGCACCACTTCCTTTCCTTTGCCAGTCTTCTATTAATTTATTTCTTTGCTTTCTTCAGGATTTCCTTTCTGAGCTTCAGGGTGTTTCCTCAGTTTGAAATATTTGCTCTGACTGTTCAGCTCCTCCTCCTCCTGCTGTTAAGGGTGGTCACCCTCTTTCTCTTGTGTGCAGCCCCCTCAGTTTGTGGACATTCCCCTGGAGGAAGATGATTCCTCTGATGAAGAATACCAGCCTGATGATGAAGAGGAGGATGAGACTGCAGAAGAGGTAAATGAACTTGTGTGTTCAGCACAGAGGCAGGAAAACACTCTTTGTTTTAACACATGGATACTTGTAAGCCATCCTGAACCTTCCAGCAATCATTCTTCAATGCTTTACTATTTATTTGGCTGGAAGAGAGTCTTTGAAATGTTATTTAGAGCAGTTATTTGTCGGAATCTGTGGTATTGATGATTCCCAAATTGTAGAAAGTCTCTGTCTGCCCTGTTGCCAAAGAAGAAGTCGTAATTAATCTGTGCTGGTTTCAAGGTTGTTTATTCTGTTTATCTCTAACATGTTCTGCTGCCCTGCCGCAGCTCTGTCCTGCAGGGCAGCGTGTGGGGCTCTGCCCTCAGTGGGATGGTACAAACATTAAATACCACAAACTACCTGTGCTGGATTTACAATAACGTGCCAATATCTGTCACCTACGTTGGACAGTGTGTCCCCAGCCTGAACCAACAGAAAAATGCCAACACCACAGTGAAACATGGAGGGCATGAAGAAGGAGGAAAAGGACAAGACACACCCAATTTCCTCCATCTTGTCCCCTTTGAACCCCTCATCTAGAATCCTAAAATTTTACTTTTGCATTTGTGCCACACTTAATTATTACTTCTATCAAACACTCAGAGCTGGTAATTCATCCTGTAAGATTGAAAACTCTTTTCCATGGACAGAGATCACAGCCAGTGTCTCTGGGGGCTCTGTCCAGGGGGGTTCCTGACCCCTGCCAGTGTCCCAGATCTTCCAGGGCAGCCAGAGGGAAGTTATGGCTTGTGGCACGATGGTTTTTGAGAGTGTTGTGCACCTCTTGCCCTGCAGAGCTTGCTGGAGAGTGATGTGGAGAGCACAGCTTCTTCTCCTCGTGGAGCCAAGAGGTGCAGGACAAGACGCTCCTCTGACGAGGAGGGAGGGACAGCCTGTGAGGTAAAGCTGGAGGAAACACTCATTTTTCCTAATTTATTCATCCAACCCCCCCAAAAAAAATCAATTCCTAAAGCTGTGGGGTCATTCCAGCTGCCAGGTGGTACCACATTTCCTTGCAGGAAGGGCTGAGTCTAAAATAAAGCTCTGGGCATAGAAACTGTTGTTAATTCCTTAGATAATGATTATTTTTCTGGTAATTTCTGAGGAGTGCAGGAGAATGGCTTCCTGTGCTTGGCTTAGGAGCAGAAAGTGAGTTTTGGTAAAAACATAAAGGTGTTTTTGTGACTGTGCACAGGCAGAGGGAGTGGTGGGTGCAGTGTGATACAGGCCAAGGAGCAGAAAACAAGAATCAGAGCTGACACTGGGATCAAAACCAGCAATATTATATTGCCATTTCCACATTCTGCTTACCAGGAGTTTGTTTTTGGGAGGATTCTGCCACAATGAATTGCAGGGGGGAGAAAGGGGAGGGAAAAATTGCCACAGTGTTCAGGTTTATCAGCTGTGGTAATGTTGAGACTGATACTCAGATCTTCCAAATAAATGTCTAATTTCCAGAAAATCTTGATATTTATTTCTTTGTACTTTCTGAAAACCAAAGTGAGTGTAATAGGAAAAATCCACATCCTTCTGCGAAGCATTTCTCCCATTTCTGGTCAGGCAGAACAAGAGATTTATTCTGTCCTTGGAAAAATCTGTTCTGAACAAAACCTTTTAACACCAAGGCCTTTTTGATTAGGTGGAGATGGCCACATCACCTGTTGTTAGACACATCAGTGCTGAAGTGGTGCCCATGGGACCCCCACCACCTCCCAAACCCAAGCAAAGCAAGGACAGCACCTTCATGGAGAAGCTGCACGCCGTGGATGAAGAGCTGGCCTGCAGCCCTGTCTGCATGGACTCCTACCAGGTACAGAGCTGCCTGGGCTTGTTACAGTTTTACAGAGAATTTTACATGGTCTGGGCTTTTTCTGGGACGTTCTGGGCTTTTTCTGGGACGTTCTGGGCTTTTTCTGGGACGTTCTGGGCTTTTTCTGGGACGTTCTGGGCTTTTTCTGGGACGTTCTGGGCTTTTTCTGGGACGTTCTGGGCTTTTTCTGGGACGTTCTGGGCTTTTTCTGGGACGTTCTGGGCTTTTTCTGGGACGTTCTGGGACGTTCTGGGCTTTTTTTCTGGGCTTTTTTTCTGGGCTTTTTCTGGGACTCTTCAGGGACTTTCTGGAGCCTGGTAAAGCTGAGAAAAGCTCAGCTTTTTGAGCCTGGTAAATCTGAGGAAATCTCAGTTTTCTGAGCCTGGTAAAGCTGAGGAAAGCTCAGCTCTCTGACCCTGGTAAAGCTGAGGAAATCTCAGTTTTCTGAGCCTGGTAAAGCTGAGAAAAGCTCAGCTTTTTGAGCCTGGTAAATCTGAGGAAAGCTCAGTTTTCTGAGCCTGGTAAATCTGAGGAAATCTCAGTTTTAGGGGCCTGGTAAAACTGAGGAAAGCTCAGTTTTTTGAGCCTGGTAAAGCTGAGGAAATCTCAGTTTTCTGAGCCTGGTAAAGCTGAGGAAATCTCAGTTTTCTGAGCTTGGTAAATCTGAGGAAAGCTCAGCTTTTGAGCCTGGTAAAGCTGAGAAAAGCTCAGCTTTTTGAGCCTGGTAAATCTGAGGAAATCTCAGTTTTCTGAGCCTGGTAAAGCTGAGAAAAGCTCAGCTTTTTGAGCCTGGTAAAGCTGAGGAAATCTCAGTTTTTGGGGCCTGGTAAAGCTGAGGAAAGCTCAGTTTTTTGAGCCTGGTAAATCTGAGGAAATCTCAGTTTTCTGAGCCTGGTAAAGCTGAGAACAGCTCAGCTTTTGGAGCCTGGTAAAGCTGAGAAAAGTTCAGCTTTTGGAGCCTGGTAAAGCTGAGAAAAGTTCAGCTTTTGGAGCCTGGTAAAGCTGAGAAAAGCTCAGTTTTCTGAGCCTGGTAAAGCTGAGGAAAGATCAGTTTTCTGAGCCTGGTAAATCTGAGGAAATCTCAGTTTTCTGAACCTGGTAAAGCTGAGGAAATCTCAGTTTTCTGAGCCTGATAAAGCTGAGGAAATCTCAGTTTTCTGAGCCTGATAAAGCTGAGGAAAGATCAGCTTTTGGGGCCTGGTAAAGCTGAGGAAATCTCAGTTTTTGGAGCCTCGTAAAGCTCAGCTTTCTCATCCTCCGGAATAAACGATTCTCTGCAGCAGGAACAGAAAAATTTCGGGTTTAGGCTCGCTTGGCCGGGCTGATAATCCCAGGAATCCTTGCTGGTCCCTGCAGCCCCTGGAGGACAGCCTGATTGCCTTCAGGACCCGCTCCAAGAGGCCCCTGAAGGACGTTCCCCTGGGGCAGCTGGAGGCCGAGCTGCGCGCGCCCGACATCACCCCCGACATGTACGACCCCAGCACGGCCGACGACGAGGAGTGGAAGAGGTGGCTCAGGGGGCTGATGAATGATGACGTGGAGAATGAAGGTACCTGGCAGATGTGGAGCTGCTGGGGGCACTGGGCTGGGGGTTTGTCGGTGTTGAGGTGGTCACAAGACAAAGCTTTGAGCCTGGTTTTATTCTAGCGTGTTTTTTCTACATTCTTACAAAACTCTTTAAGTTTACACTATAGATCCATTGGTGATTTTGATGTTTTACTCTTGGGATGAGAGGGAGCAGAGTGCAGGGATTCCTGGCCCTTGCTGTTGTTTTCAACATCTAAAATAGATGAGCCAACCACCCAGAGCAGCAGCAGAAGAGTTTGAGTTTTCCACCTCAGGCAGCTTTCATTCCAGTGTTTTCGTCTCCAACATCCAAGCACAAAAAGAATTACAGAAATATTTTCCATGGCTGTGTCATAGTTGGGACAGAAACAATACAAAGCAACACACTCCATTTTCAGAAGGCTTAAATTTTTCTACATTCTTACAAAACTCTTAAGTTTACATTTTACTCATGGGTCAGGAAAGACAAACAAAGGAATATTGGAATAGGTTTCTCTTATTTATCCTTCTTTCTTTCTTGGTTTCTATGTTGTCAACGTTGATAGGAAATTCTTTCAGGTGTAAACATGGATCCTCTCATCAAATTCTCTGTGGCTTACAAAATTCACTGTGAAACCTCTTCCATAGGGGTTGTGTGGTTTAACCAGGTTTAAACAGGTTTAACCAGGCCCTGTTTCTACTGGTTGCTTACAATTGTGCAAATTGAATATAAACCAGAAACTGAAATTACACTACTGGACTCTTTTTAAATTTAGCTAAAATTCAGAACCCAGTGAATCAAGGGTGGTGACAGTTCCAAACGTGCTTCTTTGTAGATGAAGCTGATGATGATGATGACCCTGAGTACAATTTCCTGGAAGATCTGGATGAACCAGACACAGAAGACTTCAGGAATGACCGTGCTGTGAGAATCACCAGTAAGTTCCCCAGGAATTCCCCCTCCTGTCTTGTTGTAGTTCCTTGGCAAGTGTTTTGTTGCAGGGATTTTTGCAGTGTAGGATATTAAATAAAAAATCTGTATGTTGGTTTAACCAGCTTTTGGCTCTCAGGTGCAGCACAGCCTGAAGAACAATATTTAGGTGACAATAAAACCTGAAATTAGGTGATAATACATTCTGAAAGCTTCAGGCAGTTCAGACTTGAGTGCTTGCCTTGTGATTGAATTTAATTAAACTTTGAAGTTCCCACAGTCTTCAGTTTAGTTTTATAAACATATCACTCTCTGTCTTCGCAAAAAGCCACACTTGCTTTAGGTTTTACTGCAGATTAACATAACTTTAAATTTAATTATGAAAATGAGTTTTTATGTGATATTTTAGAATCCAGACAGCTCAAATTTTTTTTGGGCCCAGCATTAAAAAAGGAATTATCAGGGGCCTTTCTTTTTTTGGTCCTCAGTTTGCAGGAGGACGCTTTCTCTTTGTGAAGGAAATTCCTTAATTGAGCTGATGTTATGACAGGATTGCTGAGTGTTTCTTGGAAAAGGCATCTTCATCATTCTTTTTAATTTTACTTGCAGAAAAGGAAGTGAATGAGCTGATGGAGGAGCTGTTTGAGACAGTAAGTGATAAACTGAAGAATGGAGCTGTCAGGCGTGAAACGGCATCTGGAGGGGTGGCTCAGTGCTGGGTGTGTGCCAGGGGCTCTGCCACAGCTGGGTCATTTTTGGGCTTAGGAAGGGAATTCTGCATGGATTTCCTGGAGTGAAGATCTGCAGGGATTTCCTGGAGTGAAGATCTGCAGGGATTTCCTGGAGTGAGGGTCTGCAGGGATTTCCTGAAGATCTGCAGGGATTTCTTGAAGGGAAAATCTGCAGGGATTTCCTGGAGTGAAGATCTGTAGGGATTTCCTGAAGGGAAGATCTGTAGGGATTTCCTGGAGTGAAGATCTGCAGGGATTTCCTGAATTGAAAATCTACAGGGATTTCTTGAATGGAAAATCTGCAGGGATTTCCTGGAGTGAAGATCTGCAGGATTTCCTGAAGATCTGTAGGGATTTCCTGGAGTGAAGATCTGTAGGGATTTCCTGGAGTGAAAATGTGCAGGGATTTCCTGAAGGGAAGATCTGTAGGGATTTCCTGGAGTGAAGATCTGTAGGGATTTCCTGAATTGAAAATCTATAGGGATCTCCTGAAGGGAAAATCTATAGGGATCTCCTGAAGGGAAGATCTGTAGGGATTTCCTGAATTGAAAATCTATAGGGATTTCCTGAAGTGAAAATCTATAGGGATCTCCTGAATTGAAAATCTATAGGGATCTCCTGAAGTGAAAATCTATAGGGATTTTCTGAAGGGAAGATCTGCAGGGATTTCCTGGAGTGAAGATCTGTAGGGATTTCCTGGAGTGAAGATCTGTAGGGATTTCCTGGAGTGAAGATCTGTAGGGATTTCCTGAAGGGAAGATCTGTAGGGATTTCCTGAAGGGAAGATGTGTAGGGATTTCCTGAATTGAAAATCTACAGGGATCTCCTGAAGTGAAAATCTATAGGGATCTCCTGGAGTGAAGATCTGTAGGGATTTCCTGGAGTGAAGATCTGTGAAGTGAAGATCTTTAGGGATTTCCTGAAGGGAATATCTTTAGGGATTTCCTGAGGGTCTGCAGGGATTTCCTGCAGTGAAGATGTGCAGGGATTTCCTGAAGGGAAGATCTGCAGGGATTTCCTGAGGGTCTTCAGGGATTTCCTGAAGTGAAGATCTTCAGGGATTTCCTGGAGTGAGGATCTTTTCTGAGAAGATCCTCCTGATCTTAATTTAGCCAAAGGTAAATGTTTTCCTTGAGCTTTCTCCTCCTGACTTGCTCCATGTCTGCTGCCAGTTCCAGGATGAGATGGGCTTCTCCAACGTGAAAGATGAAAGGCCAGAAGATGAAGATGCTGTTACAGAGTCTCGGCCAAATTTTAACACCCCCCAGGCCCTCAGGTAGGAGCATTTGTTTGTGTCCTGATTTCTCATGAGGAAAAGCCTCTGGTTACCTCTGTGGCAGCCACCAAAGAGAAAAACTGTCCTGGCAGCTCAGGCCGCTGTTCTGAAAGCTCTGAGCCATTTTTCTTCGTGGGATTGGACAATTCAATTGATCCTTTTTATTCTGTTTGCCACCATTGACTTTACTGCTTGTAATCTGAAAATCTGAAAATTAAAAACAATGAAAAAAGTGACAGAAAGAGCAAGAGTGGCTGCACTAAGGTTGGTGCTGGTTTTTATTTCAGCTGAAAACACAGATGTGGCTGGAGTGATGCAACATCATGGCAGAAAAAGAATAATTTACTTTCCCTTTTTTTTTGTTGCAAGGTTCCCTTGCTGCCCTGACATTGTTGGGATGGCAGGAGATGCTTGTGGAGCTGTTTTATCCAAGTGTGTCACCTTCTCTTTTAATCAAACAGCTGGGATGTTGTGTTGGCCCTTTTTTAAGGAAAATAACTGCCTAGGAATGAGATGTCTGGGAAATTTGGACTCTGGGTTGTAATTTTTGGGGTTGTACAAAGCAGCAGCTTGAAGAGGAAAGGGACTAAAGCAGCTCCATCCCTGAAGTGTCCAAGGGCAGGCTGGACAGTTTGGAGCACCCTGGGGTGGTGGAATGAGATGAATTTCAAGGTTCCTCCAACCCAAACCATTCCATGATTCTGTGATTTCTCTCCAGGTAATAATTCCAGTGGGATGCAGCAGCTCCAGGCTCTGGCTCAAGAGCTGCAGGATCAGTGGTGTCTCCTTATTTATGGGGCAGATCAGCTCAAGGTCAAGCTGGGTCTGTTTGGGAAAGGAGCTAAAGTGAAGGCTGGTGGTTCTGGATGCTCTCCCTGGGCTGAGCAGTGCCACAGGGGAGTGCAGCAGCTCTGAAACCAGCTACAAACTGAAATCCAGGCAGCTTTATCTTATTTGTCTGCATTTGGCTTTGATAATGGGTGCTTTTATTAATTTTTTTCTTTGGTGGGCACTTCTCCCAGTTGTTTCTTTCCTGGTTTTATCTGTTTTGGTGCCTTAGGTTTTAGATTGATATTTTTCAGGTTCTCTTTTTGCTTTAGTGTGTGGGTTTGAGCTTCATATTTTGGGAAGGTGAGCTCTCTTCACAGAGCAGGGAGACAAAACAATTCCTTCTCTTTATTTGGATCATTTGTCCTTAATCCCCAAAACCAAGGACAAATTGGCCCAAGAGCCCAAACAACGTGGGCTGAAGAGAGAAAAACAAACAGGATGGGGCTTAATAACCTAAAGCTGTAATTGTATAATTAACTCCAATATGCAAATGGAGCAGAACTTGTAAAAGTGAGAGACCCCATGACGAGTTGTCCATTTTTGTGACCATTTTGTGGTCAAGGTGGATCCATTGAGGCCTTTTAATAAATCTCTGTTTTATTCTTTAGCTCTGTCTGGTCTCTGTTCTAGGTCAGCTTTCCCAAGGCATTAGTATACAGGATTTTTTAAGTCAAAAATCTCTATTTGTTGGATTTATTGTTGTTTTTATGATACCTTGCATTAGGAGCATCATGGAACAATTCTATAACTGACCCTCAGGCCTGGTATAGAAGGGAAGCTGATCAGAAATCAGGGGATTAGCTGGTATAGCTAAAATAAATAAAATAAAATAATGAATAATAATGAAATAATTAACTCCTTCTGCTACAGGAGCAGCTCTTACTGTAGGATTTCTGGTAGAGTTCTCAGCATAAAGCTGGGTGATAATTAATTTTTTAATAAAGTAGCAAGATTTGAGGCAGTGTGTGTGGTCTTTTCTGGAGACCTTCCAGATGTTAAAATGCCATTTTATAATACCTCAGTGATAAGACCTTGGTGATGGTAAAAATTAAAGATTAGGTGATGAATTCTGGATTCCTGAGTGCTGGGGACAGATCTGAACACGTGAGTGGAGCACAGATGATTGGGAGGGGTGGAAAAGGCTTTTAAGTGTCCTCAAAAGCATTGTGTCCCAAAACTACAGCAGTGCTGGGGTGCTCTAAAAGCCTTTTCTGTGTAAATAACTCAGGTTTTACAAGCTGAGTAGTAGAGGGATGGCAAAACCAAACTGTGCAAACCAGAGAGTAAAATAAATAAATAAACATGAAGCATTATTAAATCACAGGTTTGAGGAGCCTCTGGCCAATTTGCTGAACAAGCAGCACCAGACAGTGAAGGAGCAACTGGAGCAGCTGAGAATGAAAAAATCCTCAATCAAAGCACCTCAAGAAGCTGAAAAATGCAGAACCACAAATGAGAAACCTCTCCATAGCCTGGTTCTGGACAGTGCCCAAAGGAAGAGGCTGGAGCAGCAAATGCAGCAGGTAATCAGTGCTGGGGATGTGCTGATCTGTGCCAGGACACAGCAGGAATTCAGGAAAAAAGAGAATTCCTTCAGGGAATTCATTGGGAAAAAATTCCTTGTGAATTGGAGCTTTCTTAGGTGATGTTTACATGGCATCTGTTCTCATGGGAGGTGTTTTATTCTGTAAAAATGACTGTATTCTGTAACAATCTTATTTTCACCAATTCAATTTCACCCATTTTCTTTATTTTTTGTGCCTTTGGACTTGTGCTTTCCAGTTCCTTGGATTTGTGATAAACTGGAAAAAAAAAAAACAAAACCAAAAAACGGATTTGTCTGATTTTATTCCTCCAGCATGTTCAGCTCCTGACTCAAATCCATCTCCTGGCAAGTTTCAACCCTGCTCTAAGTTCAGAGGCCAGCACCACCCAGATGTTTTTGGTGAGGAATGCCTGAAATCAGATATCCATCAATTCAAAAGATTGCTGGCATGCTTAAAAAGATTCATTTATTAATTTAATTTATTAATTTTACCGATTAGTTTATTATTTTAATGTATTAACTTATTGTTTACTTTCAATTTATTAATTTTTATTTGTTTGTTTGATTTATTTACTTAGAAAGGTGAATTATTTTATTTTATTTATGCTATTAAACTGAGAACTAAGGTTCTGGAAAGGGTGGCAATTGATAAAAAATAAAAGTCATGGAATGCCAGAATGGTTTGGGTGGGGAAGGACCTTAAAGCTCACTCAGTTCCACCTGAGTGGAACACCAGGGACACCTTCCCCTGTCCCAGGCTGCTCCAAGCCCCATCCAGCCTGGCCTTGGACACTGCCAGGGATGGGAAATCCACAATTTTCTGATTTCCCTCACATCAAATCCTCTATCCCTGCAGTTTTGATGCCCGAAATTAACATTTATAAGCTGATTTTTGTTTGTTTTTTCGCACGGTGCGTGTTTGTTCCCTGCCAGAGAATCCTCTCTCTGACGTGTTTCTGTTTTCTCTTTGCAGAGCGAGCTCGGGAGCTTTGCCTGCAGCTCCACCCTGCACCAGGTGCCCCAAAATCCCAAATTCCAGACCATGTTCCAGCCCTGCAACTTGGAGGGGGCCCTGCAGCTCATCAAGGACTTCCATGCCCAGGTGCCAGTGGACTGGAGCCCTCGGAAAGCTGTGAAAAAAAATGGTAAGTGGTGGATTATACTTTTTTTCTGACCCAGAGATGGGCAACTGAGGGGTGTTTTAAAAAACTTTTATTCTATTTTCAGTCTCATGTGAAGGGTGAGACAATACAGATGTTAGAAATCATGCAATTACAATCAGAAGCTGATGATTTCTTAATTACAATACACTCTAAGTGTTTCTTTGCCCATCAGCTTTAGCCACACCAATTTTCTACAAATCCATTTGCCACAGGGACAGGGTGGAGAAAACATTGTCAGGGAGAATTATTCCATATTTTAAGGGGCTTGTGTCCCTCCCTGGGCTGTGCCAAATCCTCTGGGGGGGCTCAAAATGGTCTTTACCTTGCTACAGAGCAAAAGAAAAGATGGAAGAGGAAAGGAATTTTACCTTTTGCTGGTGTAAACTTGTGGGGGGGAAACTAGGAAATGTGCAAATACTAAAAACAGAAAGGAAGTTTTTATTTTTGCAGTGAAAGGAGTAAAAGAAACAGAAGTGAGCTGTGAAAAACATTCATCCACACACACGCAACTCTCCTTCCCTGTTAATTCTTTTCACAGCAAACGAATTCTCATGTTTGCCAAAGCAAGTGGCCTGGATTTTGGCAACCAGGAAAGTTTTTATGTACCCAGAGCTACTGCCAATTTGTTCCTTGAGAGCAAATCCTCACCGAGACAAGATCGTCTTCACCAAGGCAGAGGACAAGTAGGTGCTTGAATTATTGTCCAAAATGGGTGGAATAAAGAGAATTTCTGTGGTGACACATCCCAGCAGCTCCCTGAGAGGTTTCTTATCTCCTTCCCTCCCTCTTTTCCCTGTCCAGCTTGTTGGCTTTAGGGCTGAAACATTTTGAAGGGACGGAGTTTCCCAAGCCTTTGATCAGCAAATATCTCCTGCCCACCAAAACTGCCCATCAGCTGACAGTGAGGATCAAGAACCTCAGCATGAACCGAGCCCCTGACAACATCATCATGGTAAGGGGCACCTCCAAGGACAGAAATTAAGAAATAGTTGTTCTTTTCAGAGATTAAAAATCCAATTAAGAAATAGTTGTTCTTTAATTAAAAAAAAAAAAAAAAGTTGTTCTTTTGTGAGCAGTGAGGATTTCTCTTTTTTTTTCTTTAGTTTAGCCACTGGACTTGGCAAATATTTATGTTCTGTTTTGACTCTTTAGAGCCCACTGGTAAATCTCAGTGATGCTGATGAAAAATTGATACAAATGAGATTTTGAGTAGGAAAACTTAAATAAAAGAGCTGTTAGCAGCCAGCTGGGCAGTAATCCTGTCCCTTTTGGGAACAAAACCACATAAAACAACACCTGCACAACTGCCTGAACCTCTGTGAGAGCAGCCAGGATGGCAACGAGCTCCTGTTCAGCCTTGGTTATTGATTTTGAATGTTCCTGTGGGTAGAACCTTATTAAAAATTGCTTTATTCACATGAACACTTAGATCCCAGAGGTGACCTGAGTTTGTGTGGCTTTGTCTGCTGTCCCCACAGTACTACAAAAAGACAAAGCAGCTGCCTGTGCTGGTGAAGTGCTGTGAGGAAATCCAGCCCCACGAGTGGAAACCTCCCGTGGAGAGGGAAGAGCATCGCCTGCCCTTCTGGTTAAAGGTATTTTCTGCTGCTCTGCGCCCAGGCCTGGCGGGGAGTTGTTGTTTGGTTCATTTCTTGTGGGTTTTACTTGAGTTTTGTGAGGGTTTTCCTTGTGGGATTTTTCTTGGAGGCATGGAGACCATTCCTGTGAGTCAGTCAGTCAGGGAGGACTGTGCCCAAGGGAGCAGCTGGACTCATAAAACCCAGTTTTCTTGATCATCCTTCCCACAAAATCTTGTGTTTACTAAAGCAACCTTTATAAGGCAAAAAAACTTTGGTTTTTTTTTCCCTCAGGATCTCAGAGTCTCCTAAAAGCTTTGCAGTGTAACTCATGAATTTAAAGTACTATTAAGTAACATGCAGGAAGGATTATAAAGGAAATAAAGGAATTATAAAGGAAATAAAACCTGCTTGTAGAAGAAGGTCTGCTGCCTTCTGTGCTGCTGTGTGAAGGTGGGAATACAGGAGAACATAAATAATTAATTCCAATGAATTCTTGCTCCCTTTAGGCAAGCTTGCCCTCCATCCAGAGAGAACTGAAGCAGCTGGCAGAAAATGCCAAGGGGACACCAGCTTCACCTGAAGGAGAATCTGCCCTTTTGGGGCCAGAAAAGGAAACTTCAAACACGGAATATGGTGACAAATACCCTCTGCTGATGCCCAAGGGGCTGGTGCTGACCCTGAAACCTTTGGCCAACCGCTTCTCCAGGAGGGCCTGGAGGAGACAGAGGTCTTCAGCTCTGAAGCCTGTCCTGATCCGCCCCAGCCCCTGTCTGCAGCCCAGCTCCAGCCCCCTCAATGTGCAGAAAACTCCCAAATTGTCCCAGTCAGAGGCTCCCCCCAGCAAGGTCCTGCGCCAGGTCCCCCGGCCCATCCAGCCGGCGCCACAACCCCTGAACGTTCCGGCAGTGCTGGGAGGTGGGGATGCCTTGGAATTCCAGAATGTGCCTTCCACTGCCCATCCAAACTCCAGACAGACCTTCCCAGCTGCTGTGCCCCCAGCTCTGGTGTCCTCAGAAGCGGTGACTCTCCAGCCCAAGCTGATGCTGCCGGCCTTGGCGGGGACGAAGACGCGCAAACCTTGCGTGCGTAAGGGCTACCAGAGGAAAAAAGGGACGAGATCCACCCCGCTGATCAAACCTTCCCCTCTGATCCAGCCCTCCCCTGTCATCCTGACCGTCCCTGCTGCCACGGTGAAGGTGGTGAACATTGGCAACGGCTGCAACGTGCTGCAGCCCCTGAGCACGGCGGTGGGCCGGGGCGCTCAGGCCATTCCTGTCACAACGCTGCTGGTGAATCCATCCACCTTCCCCTGCCCCTTAAACCAGCCCCTGGTGACCTCTTCCATCCCATCACTGATTGTCTCTCCCAGCCCTGTGGGTCTGGCTGCTCCTGCTGTGGGGGAAGGCGAGGAGAAGCTGACCCTGCTCCCTGCTCCCGCTGCCTTTCCCACCGCAGAACCCAAAGCAGAGCCCACAGAGCTCTTTGTGCCCTGCTCCAGCCTTGTCCCCGAGGAGGAGAGTGGCACAAACGCTGCCCACGGGGACACTCAGGACCAGGGGAGCAAAGCTGACTGCTGCAGCTGGCCAGGAGCAGAGGGAGATGGGCACACACCCAAGCCTGTGCCCGTGGTGGAGCTTTTGCCTCGCTTAGAAGCCGCTGATCCATCAGCAGAAATCAAATCTGAAGATTTAAATGACGCTCCCAAAGAAGCAAAGCTGGCGCAGAGAAAGGATTTTTTATGTGCTGAAAGGAAGGAGGAATTCATGCTGGGCCTCGGCCAGGAGCTGAACATGGAGGCTGCGTGCTGCTGTGGGGACGAGCCCAAGAAGGAGAAGGGAGAGGAGGAACGCCGGGCTCTGCCGTCCCCAGCCCGGGGGGAGCCCCAGGGGGACGCAGGGGGGGCTGCAGGCAGCAGTGACTCCCCAAAAATCCCCCCCTGCCCCGCCGAGAGGGAGGCAGAGCTCAGCAGCCCCCCGGGCAGGCCGGAGGATTCATCCAGCGTGGACGGACAATCCGTGGGGACCCCGGCCGGCCCCGAGGCCGCAGGGGAGAGGGAAGGGCAGGAGGAGGAGGAGGAGGATGAATTTGATGATTTCACGCAGGACGAGGATGAGGAAATGTCCTCGGCCTCGGAAGAGTCCGTCCTGTCCGTGCCGGAGCTGCAGGTAAAGGGAAAACGGGAAAACCCTGAAAAAAGGCAGCGGTGGGTGGCATGAAACACCCCGAGGAGTTGGGAATCCACTGGGAATCCCACTGGGAATCCACTGGGAATCCCTCTGGGAATTTTTTGGGAATCCCTCTGGGAATTTTTTGGAATCACTCTGGGAATTTTTGGGAATGCCACTGAGAATCCCCCTGGGAATCCCACTGGGAATTTTTTTGAAATCCCTCTGGGAATTTTTGGGAGTCCCCTTGGGAATCCCCCTGGGAATTCACTGGAAATCCCCCTGGGAATTCCACTGGGAATCCCCCTGGGAATTTTTGGGAATCCCTTGTGAAACCCACTTGGAATTTTTGGGAATCCCACTGGGAATTTTTGGGAATTCCCCTGGGAATCCACTGGGAATTTTTGGGAATCCCCCTGGGAATCCCACTGAGAATCCCCCTGGGAATCCACTGGAAATTTTTGGGAATTCCACTGGGAATCCACTGAGAATTTTTGGGAATCCCCCTAGGAATCCCACTGAGAATCCCCCTGGGAATCCACTGGGAATCCCACTGGGAATTCCACTGGGAATCCCCCTGGGAATTTTTGGGAATCCCTTGTGAAACCCACTTGGAATTTTTGGGAATCCCACTGGGAATTGTTGGGAATTCCCCTGGGAATCCCACTGAGAATCCCCTTGGGAATCCACTGGGAATTTTTGGGAATCCCACTGGGAATTTTTGGGGATCCCACTGAGAATCCCCCTGGGAATTCCACTGGGAATCCCCCTGGGAATTTTTGGGAATCCCTTGTGAAACCCGCTTGGAATTTTTGGGAATCCCCCTGGGAATTTTTGGGAATCCCGCTGGCAAGGTGGGCTGACAAGTCTCTAGCCTGGCATTGTGCTGGTCACAGAGAAATTTGCCATCACCTTTTAAAATTCAGATTTGAAGCCCAGGCTGAAGGAATTTATTGCAAAAATTCAGATTTTGGCTCTGCTGAGCTGTCAGGACTCCTCAGTGTGGCTGCTCTGCAAGAAATACTTCAGTTAAAAATGAAATCTTTTATTTTCCAGGTCACAATTCCAGTAGGCTTTTTAAGAGCTGAGATGATCATTAATAAATAATTTAGAAGGGATTCCTTAATTAAGCCCTAATCTGATGGATGACAGATGCTGAAATTTAATTTGACAAATTTTAGGCAGCTCTGGAGGGGTTTGAATTCTGTTCCTTAACAAAACCCTTGAGTTGGGCTGATCTATGAAATTGGCTGTTGGATGCAGCGAGGAAATTGCTGAGTGATATTAAACCAAACATAAATAAAATATTAAGCCGAGCAAGGAAATAAATTAAAATAAATACGAAATAAATTAAAATAAATACAAAATAAATGGGATTTTTTTGTTATTTTCTAAGGAGACAATGGAAAAACTGACTTGGCTTGCCACAGAGAGACGTTTAAGCCAAGAAGGAGACTCTGAAGAAGAGAATTCCCAGGAGGAGAACTCGGAGCCTGAGGAGGAGGAGGAGGAGGAAGGGGAAGGAGTGGAGAATTTACAGAAAGATGATGAAATCTGTGGGGATCCAGCAGAGGAGCCCAAATCTGCCTTCACCACAGCCAAGGCAACTTCTTCCCCACAGCTGGAAGCCCAGGGGATGCCAGCAGGTGAATTCTGTGGGTTTTTTATTTTTTTATATTTTTTTGAATACCAGCAGGTGAATTCTTTAGGGTATTTAATTTTTTTTTTGGATGCCAGCAGGTGAATTCTTTAGGGTTTTTATATTTTTTTTTTGGATGCCAGCAGGTGAATTATTTGGGATTATTTATTTTTTGGATGCTAGCAGGTGAGTTCTTTGGGGTTTTTTGGACACAGGGAGTGGGGAAGTAGAGCTGCTGTCTGCAGGGAAATCAAATCCCTGGGGATCCTGTCTGGGTTGAATTCCATGGATTTATCTGAGCCAAGTGGTGTTTTCCAGCTGGAAATTCAACTTTGGGCCCCACTCACAGCTCTGTTCACTGCCTGAAAAATCTGCAGATTTATGGTTTGTGTCAGCTGATACCTCAGAAGTGTAGAAGAAAATATTAAATAATCAGATCTTTGCAAAGTTGAATTTTGTCTGACAAGATCACCTTGGAGAAAAGGAAATTAAACCAAGTCCAGCAAGTGCTGAATGAACTTGAGCAGTGAACTTTGAGAAAGGGACCTCAGCCCATTAAATCAACAGATTCCTAAACCTAAAGCAACAAAAAAATCACAAAAAAACCCAAAAATCTGGATGTAACCCCTCTTTAATTCCCTGTTGTGTGACACCAGGTATTTATCTATGATTTTAATGTAAATAATTAGCTAAAATTAGCAGAGTTCACAGCCAGCTCAGTCTGTTCCCCTCGTGGTTGTTCTGCCCTGGTGTGCAGGATTTTTTACTTCCAGAAAAAGCTGCCATCAACTTGTGGCTGCATCCAGAGATTTTTTTTTTGCTCAGATGCTGTTGAAACAAGCAACAAAATTAAGATTTTATCCAGCTGGACTCGTGGGAAGTGTATTTCTCCTCCACTTCCAGGCAGCACAGACAGAAACTCCACGCTGACTCTGTCGGAATTGTACAACCTGTATATTTTATGTATATTTTGCAACGATTTCTGCTGGAATATTGCCCTGGTAGAGCCTTGGGGTGTTTCTACCACCAAGTGACTTTGTGCTTCTCCACAGGAGAGAACCTGAAAGCCCCTGGGAAGGGCAGGAGCTCCCACAGGACCAGGAGCAAGCGGGGCAGGGCTCGTGGCAGCAAGGACACCTCCAAGCTGCTGCTGCTGTACGACGAGGACATCCTGGAGAGGGATCCCCTGAGGGAGCAGAAGGACCTGGCCTTTGCCCAGGCTTACCTGACCAGGGTAAGGCAGCCCAGGAGCAGGAAAATCAGAGATTTTGGGGTTCTCTGGCACAGAGCTGAGCCACGGAGCTGCTGGGTCTGGCTGGGGTGGAGTTAATTTCTTTTATGCCATCACTTCCCAAAGTGTCCCTTGGAGGAGAGCAGCTCCTCCTCTTCCTCAGGCTCAAAGTTTTCTTCTGGGAATTCAGAATTTCCTTCTGGGTCTGGCTGGGGTGAAGTTAAGTTCTTCTATGCCCCATGTGTGGTGCTTCACTTCCCAAAATTTCCCTTTCTTGAGGTGAAGAGGAGAGCAGCTCCTCTTATTCCTCAGGCTCAGAGTTTTCTTCTGGGAATTCTGAATTTCCTTCTGGGTCTGGCTGGGGTGGAGTTAATTTCTTTTACACCTTCACTTCCCAAAGTGTCCCTTTATTGAGGTGAAAAGGAGGAGAGCAGCTCCTCCTCTTCCTCATGCTCGAAGTTTTCTTCTGGGAATTCTGAATTTCCTTCTGGGTCTGGCTGGGGTGAAGTTAAGTTCTTCTATGCCTCACGTGTGGTGCTTCACTTCCCAAAATTTCCCTTTCTTGAGGTGAAGAGGAGAGCAGCTCCTCTTATTCCTCAGGCTCAGAGTTTTCTGGGAATTCAGAATTTCCTTCTGGGTCTGGCTGTGGTGGAGTTAATTTCTTTTACGCCTTCACTTCCCAAAGTTTCCCTTTATTGAGGTGAAGAGGAGAGCAGCTCCTCTTCTTCCTCAGGCTCAAAAGTTTTCTTCTGGGAATTTTGAATTTCCTTCTGGGTCTGGCTGGGGTGGAGTTAATTTCTTCTACGCCTTCACTTCCCAAAGTGTCCCTTGGAGGAGAGCAGCTCCTCCTCTTCCTCAGGCTCAAAGTTTTCTTCTGGGAATTCTGAATTTCCTTCTGTGGCTGCTCTGGAAGTGTCCAAGGCCAGTTTGGAGCAGCTGGGATGGCAGAAGGTGCCCACAGCAAGGAATGAGCTGATCTTTAATGTCCCCTCCAACACGAGATACTCCCTTGTGGCAGCACATTTCTCTCCCTCTCAGGATTTTTCATAGAGGTGCACAGAGAGAAACGAAAGAGAAAACAATTTATATTCCTGCTCCTTGTTTTTTCCCATGTGTTTAGAGAATCGTTTACCTGGAGTGATTGCTTGGTTGGATTCTGGTGAGGATTGTTTGAGCCTGATGGCCAATCCAATCCAATCCAATCCAATCCAATCCAACCCAACCCAACCCAACCCAATCCAATCCAATCCACCTGGGGCTGGACTCTCAGAGACGGTCACAAATTGTGGGAGAGTATGTAGTTTTAGTATCCTCCTTTTATATAGTATATATAAATAATATAATAGAAAATATAACATAATAATAAATATTAATAATATAAATAATATAAATAATATAAAATTCAATACAATAATACATAATAATAATATATTATAATAGTATATAATTATATTAGAATAATATATATAAATATTATAATATTAAATAATACAAATAATATAAGTAATATAATATAAAATAATAAAATAGTATAAGACTATAAAATATAATACAATAATATATAATATAATGTAATATAATATAATACAATATAATAATACATAATAATAATTATAATTATATATAATTATATTATAATAATAGATATACATAATATAAATAATATAATATTTAATTATGCAAATAATATAAGTAATATAATATAAAATAATATAATACTATAAAATATAATATAATAATATAATATAATAATAAATACGAATAATATAAATAATATAATATAAAATAATAAAGTAATATAAAATAATTTTATACATTAGTATAAAATGTACTTATAAATACATTTTATAATGTATTTAATGTATATAGTTATAATAAAGAAATAATTCAGCCTTGTGAGTCGAGTCAGACATCCTCATTTCTTCCCACTGGGTTCACCTACACTTCCAATACTCTGTGCTGGGCTTGTTTTTCCCTGCTGGATGTCACCAAGGCCCGGTGTCCCCCCAGGTGCGTGAGACCCTGCAGCACATCCCGGGCAAGTACGAGGATTTCCTGCGCGTGATCTACGAGTTCGAGATCGGCACGGACAAACGGACGGCCGTGGATCTGTACTGCACCCTGCAGCAGCTGCTGCACGACTGGCCACAGCTGCTGACGGATTTCGCTGCCTTCCTTTTGCCAGAGCAAGCTTTGGAGTGTGGGCTGGTAGGTGGAGTGAGAGGAGGAGGAGGTGGGATTTAAGTAGGATTTAAATTTAAATTTTGGGGGAGTGGGAGGATGAAGAGGGAAAGATGAAGAGTTCTCTTTACTTTGCCCAGGCAAACATCTGGTGACTATTCAGATATTTGACTTCCTTGCCTTGCTGCTTTTATTAATCAGTGTGGGAATCCAGGGCTTCCCTCTGGCTGCCCTGGGAGCCTGGCAGGGGTCAGGAACCCCCCTGGACAGAGCCCCCAGAGACACTGTCTGTGATCTCTGTCCATGGAAAAGAGTTTTCAATCTTACAGGATGAATTACAAGCTCTGAGTGTTTGATAGAAGTAATAATTAAGTGTGGCACAGGTGCAAAAGTAAAATTTTAGGATTCTAGATTAGGGGTTCAGAGGGGACAAGATGGAGGAAATTGGGTGTGTTTGTCCTTTTTCTCCTTCTTCATGCCCTCCATGTTTCACTGTGGTGTTGGCATTTTTCTGTTGGTTCGGGCTGGGGACACACTGTCCAACGTAGGTGACAGATATTGGCACGTTATTGTAAATCCAGCACAGGTAGTTTGTGGTATTTAATGTTTGTACCATCCCACTGAGGGCAGAGCCCCACACGCTGCCCTGCAGGACAGAGCTGCGGCAGGGCAGCAGAACATGTTAGAGATAAACAGAATAAACAACCTTGAAACCAGCACAGACGAATTATGACTTCTTTGGCAGCGGGGCACAAAGATAGAGACTTTCTACAATCTCAGAATCATCAATACCACAGATTCCAACAAATCAGAATTGGAAAGTTTGGTGTTCTTTGTAAATCTGCTGTCGAGGATCAGCCTTCCCCACCTGACAGCAGAGTGGTTCCCCCATCTCCAAATCTGCCTCCCACTTTGCAGGATAGAGGTTTCACCTGTTCCATTCTTTCTGTATTTCCCTCTCTTTTTGTGCAAAGACAGGGAAATGCAGAAAGAATGGATTTATAGCTCATGTAAAGCTATACATGATCATACGTGTGGTTTTTCATTATACAAAGAGGTTTTTCTCTTCCTCTGCCTCTTCCCAGTTTTGTGAAGTGCAACAATACAGTGGAAAACAACAACCACAACAAGGAATTTTATTTAAGTCAATTCCAGATGCTTGGGAATATGTGCTTGAACATGAGGGTGAATCTTTTTTCTTTTCTGGCCAGTTTGAGGAGCAGCAAGCCTTCGAAAAGAGCCGCAAGTTCCTCAGGCAGCTGGAGATCTGCTTTGCTGAAAATCCCGCCCACCACCAAAAAATCATCAAAGTCCTGCAGAGCTGTGCAGACTGTCTGCCCCAGGAGATTGCAGAGGTAAGCAGGGAGCTTTTTCTCCCTGTCCCTGTCCTCCTGGAGACCACAGGAGTTGGCCCAGCACATTCTCCCTTTTGGGGTTACAGCTGAAATTCATGAGTCACAAAATAATTTGGGCTTTTTGGGGTTACAGCTCAAATTCACAAAGTCACAAAATAATTTGGGCCTTTTGGGGTTAAAGCTCAAATTTATGGAGTCACAAAATGATTTGGGCTCATTTGGGGTTACAGCTCAAAAATTCATTGAGTCACAAAATTATTTGGGATTTTTGGGGTTATTTGGCCTTTTGGGGTTACAGCTGAAATTCATGAGTCACAAAATAATTTGGGCCCTTTTGGGGGTACAGCTCAAATTTATGGAGTCACAAAATCATTTGGGCTTTTGGGATTACAGCTCAGATTCATGGAGTTAGAAAATTATTTGGACCCTTTTGGGGTTACAGCTCAAATTCATGGAGTCACAAAATCATTTGGGCCTTTTGGGGTTACAGCTCAAAAATTCAATGAGTCACAAAATTATCTGGGATTTTTGGGGTTATTGGGCCTTTTGGGGTTACCTCTCAAATTCATGGAGTCACAAAATGATTTGGGCTCATTTGGGGTTACAGCTCAAAAATTCATGGAGTCACAAAATGATTTGGCCCTTTTGGGGTTACAGCTCGAAAATTCACGGAGTCACAAAATTATTTGGGATTTTTTGGGGTTAGAGCTCAAATTCATGGAGTCACAAAATTATTTGGGCCCTTTGGGGTTACAGCTCAAATTCCTGGAGTCACAAAATGATTTGGGCTTGTGGGGAATTCTGGAGGAATATTTCCAGGCTGATTTGACAGCTGGGTGGGGAATGACCTCAGAATATCCAGGATGCTCCCCCTGCCCTGGGAACCTTCAGGGGACAATGAGAGGAGGTGAAATAAAACCCTGAATATATTTTTTTTTTCCCCTCTGGCTTTTTCCAGCTGAAAACCCAAATGTGGCAGCTGTTGAAGGGACATGACCACCTGCAGGATGAGTTCTCAGTTTTCTTTGATCACCTCCGACCCTCAGCCAGCCGCATGGGAGACTTTGAGGAGATCAACTGGACAGAAGAGAAGGAATATGAGGTGCAGCAATCTTTTCCCCAAAACCAGAAATGATAAAAACAGAGATAAGAAACATTTTTGAACTGCAAGAACTCTAATTAGAGGGTACAGTTCCAGTTTTTATTTTTCTTGGATGCCAGCAGGTGAATTCTTTAGAGGTTTAATTTTTTTTTTTTTTGGATGCCAGTGGGGTGGGAGAGCTGCTGGTTGACTCAACCAAACCCTTCAAGTTTTTGAACAGCATTTTTATTTTCTGGGGGAAACAAAATTCGGTCACCTGAGAGCAGCTCTTGTGTGTTTTTTCTACTGTAGTTTGATGGGTTTGAAGAGGTGTCTCTGCCAGATGTAGAAGAGGAGGATGAGCCACCCAAAATTCATGGAGCCACCAGGAACAAGAAGAGGAAGGAGATTGGAGGCCAACAGCACGACAAGGTGGGGCTGGGGCATTTTGCCTGGTATTTTTCACCTCTGAGAAAATTAAATTGGGATTAAATTTAGATTAAATTGGGCCTGGGGCATCTCAGTGTTATTTTTCACCTCTGAGTAAATTAAATTTGGATTAAATTGAACCTGGGGCATCTCTGTGTTATTTTTCACCTCTGAGTAAATTAAATTTGGATTAAATTGGGCCTGGGGCATCTCCCTGGTATTTTTCACTTCTGAGCAGATTAAATTGGGATTAAATTCAGATTAAATTATTGAGGATATGGCAACACCTGAGAGAGGTGGAAAAAGGGGGATGAGGATGTTCCCGTTGTGCTTTTCTTGCTAGCATCACTTCAGTGTTCTGCCTGTTCCTTGTCTGTCTGTCTGTCTGTCTGTGGCAGCGGGGGTTGTGTCTGTCTGTCTGTCAGTTGGGATTTTTTCTGTCTGTCTGTCCACTGGGATTTTTTCTGTCTGTCTGTCCACTGGGATTTTGTCTGTCTGTCTCTCACTTGGAATTTTTTCTGTCAGCTGGGGTTTTGTCTGTCTGTCCACTGGGATTTTGTCTGCCTGTCTGTCAGATGGGGGTTTTTCTGTCTGTCTGTCAGCTGGAGCCTGTCTGTCTGTCTGCAGGAGGTGGAGTGGGTGGAAGGGATGAAGGAGTGCTCCTGCTCCTGCCACGAAGGCAGCAGCGAGCTGAAGCTGAAGAAAAGCAAGAGGAGGAGCTGCAGCCACTGTGGGAGCAAGGTCAGTGCAGGGCCCAGAGTGACGAGTCCTGCCAGGCCTCCAAATGTTGGGGAGAGGAGGGAATCCATCCCAAATATTGGGCAGAGGAGGGAATCCATCCCAAATATTGGGCAGAGGAGAGAATCCATCCCAAATGTTGGGCAGAGGAAGAGAATCCATCCTAAATGTTGGGCAGAGGAGAGAATCCATGCCAAGTGTTGGGCAGAGGAGGGGAATCCATCCCAAATGTTGGGCAGAGGAGGGAATCCATCCCAAATGTTGGGAAGAAGAACGGAATCCATCCCAAATGTTGGGCAGAGGAGGGAATCCATCCCAAATGTTGGGCAGAGGAAGGGATTCCATCCCAAATGTTGGGGAGAGGAGAGAATCCATCCCAAATGTTGGGCAGAGGAAAGGAATCCATGCCAAATGTTGGGCAGAGGAAGGGAATCCATCCCAAATGTTGGGCAGAGGAGGGAATCCATCCCAAATGTTGGGCAGGGGTAGGGAATCCATCCCAAATGTTGGGCAGGGGAAGGGAATCCATCCCAAGTGCCTCCCTCTCTACCTGCCTGGCCTTCTCCCACCTCTCTCCTGCCCCTTCTTGCTCTGCTAAATGATCTCAGTTTTGATGTTCTTCTTGCTTAAGAAGAAGTTTTTTGAGGGTAAGATGCTGGTGTGGGCACTATGTGAAAAGATCCATTCCTGATGTTATTATTATATTATATTATTATTACATTATATTATTATTATATTATATATGATATTATATGATATTCTGGTATATTAGATATTCTGGTATGGTGTATAATGGTATAATATATTGTATTATATTGTAATAATTTATTAATATATTAAGATATATTAATATAATATATTACTATACTAATATATTAATATAGTGCGATATATTATATATTTATAAAATTTAATATATAATAATTAAAATAATAATCTATATTATAGTATATTATGGTATATGATAGTATATTACATTACATTACATTTATTATGTTTATTAGATTATATTAATTATATTATGGTATGGTGTGGTATATTATAGCATATTATATTATAGTATATTGTAATAATATATTTAGATATATAATGTATTAATATGCTAATATAGTAATATATTAATATATTACAATATATATAGATAGATAAATTATTATATTAATATTATATAATAATAACAGCAAATAATAATAAATAATAATAATATCAATAAACTTTCTAAAGCAAACCCAATGCCAAAGGGAAGCCCTTGGCAGGGCCAGGAATGGCTGGGCAGCAAATCCCGAGCTGTGCCTGGGCTGGATGGACACAGGTGTGTGATTGTGCCCGTGGGTCGCTTTGCAGGTGTGTGAAAACAAATTCTACAAAAACAAAGATTGCCACGAGCTGCCTGCCAGCCTTGCTCAGCCAGAGTCGAGTCCCCAGCCGGAGGGGAAGGAGGCTGGAATGTCCAAGGAGGCTGGAGAGGAAATCCTGGAGGGCAGAGAGGAGGGAGAGGACAGAACAAAACCTGGCCCGAGGAAGGGGGAGTCTCTGTCTCCAGGTGTGTGCAACTTTTGTTGTCTGCAGGCAGAAAACAGAATGGTTTGGAATGGTGTGGAATCCTCTGCACACAGTGAGCAGAGCTTCAGGCACTTGTCATGCACATTTATTATCATGAGAACTTCTAATTGTTGTCTTTTCACTTCTTTTTCCTTTTGTCCCTCCACTCTGGATGCTCTAAACCTGTCAAGCATTCCCTTCAACAAAACCTTTCCTGCCTAGAGAATGTTCTGCCCTTTTTACAATGATTGCCCCATTTCAGCTCCTCTTTCCAGGATGCTGCTCCAGTTCCCAGCCCATGGTACTGGTTTTTTTCCCAGTTTCCATTTTAGCACAACAGTTCAGAACCACCATCTCTCTAATTTGCTTTTAAACAATCTCTGTGCTGCTTGTTTTTCCTCCACTCTGCTCCAGACAAGGAAAAACACAATTCTGGCAGGAAAAACAACCTGGGGGAGATCTCTCCCTCCCACTGGAGCCAGGGCTCAGCTCGTGCTGCTGTTGGGGACAGCACAGAGTTAAATGCAGGAGTTGAAATGTGGATTCATGCCTGGGTTTGTAACCAGGGTGCCCAGAGCAGCTGTGGCTGTTTCACTGGAGAGCTTTGCTCTGGGCAATGCACTTTTAAAAAATCTTCATCACTTCACGCAGCAGTTGGTTGTAGCAACCCACAGGGGTGAAGAAAATTGGCTGCAGATTGTCTTCTTTGAAGCACAGGTGGGTAAAAGGCAGGTGGAGTCACCAAGCTGCTCCAAAACATGCAGCATTAAACTCTGTAAACAATAATATCTTTAAAATCAGGGAATGGAGCCTTCAGGGGTTCTCCCTTACAGCTTCTCTGACCTTGTGTGGGTTTCTCAGCAGGATCTCACCTGGAAGGAAGGGTGGCCTCCAGCAGACCTGGATCTTGTGAGAAAGCTGCCCCTGCTGATGCCCAGCTCCCAGAAGGTGCCAGCGCAGGCGTGGACGCTGCCAGGGACAGGGACTCTGCTGCCACTGGCCCCAGCTGGGCACAGCTGCAAAAAGCTGCTCTGAAACTACCTCAAGAGACCAAAGAGTGCCCTTGCAGCGAGGGACTGAAGCAGCCTGCAGGGAATGCAGAGGCTCCCCCGGGGCTGGGCAGGGACCTGCTGCTCTCTGCTGCAGCAAAAAGTTCCCTGGGACCTCGACCCTGTCAGACTGAGGGGCTTCATTCTGCTGCAGCTGAGCAGCCCAGGGGCTCTGCTCTTGGCCCAGGAGGTGGCAAAGAACTCGAGGGAGCATCTTTGGCCCTGGAAGGAAGAGCAGAAGCAAAGCAGGGCTGGATCACAAAGAGCAGCAAAGCAGCAGCAGGTGAGAGCTGCAGCTCAGCGTCCCCTGCTCGCTGCAGCTCAGAGACACAGGACAGAGGCTGCACTGGAGCTGCTGCTGAGGGCAGGCCAAGGTCCAGTGCAAGCAGCAGCTTGGTGGTGCATCAGCATCCAGCTGAGCAGCTCCGGGGGCAGAGGGAGGAGGAGCAGCAGCAGCAGAGGGTGACCGAGGCCACCGTGTGTGCCAAGAACAGCAAAGTCAGCTCCACTGGGGAGAAGGTTGTGCTCTGGACCAGGTACTTCTGCCTGACCTCCTCTTTCTGTGTGCACTGCTTGGCTCCAGCTCTTACAGGGTTCATTTGTTTTTGTTTTGGATCTTTATTCTCTGACCCTTCCCTTCGGATATTGCTCAGTCCATCAGTTTGGCCTCACGAGCAGCTCCTGGCAGGGCTGTTATTGCAGCACTTCAGACTGGGAAAAGAAAACTTGAAACTTGCTCAAAAAATACTTAAAACCTCCTTCAAAAAACTTCAAACCAGGCTAAAGGAGCTCTGCTTAGAGAAGGGTCCTGGGGTTGGGGGTGGCAGGAAGGAGGGATTGCTGAGCTGGGAACAGGGCTGGGGGTGTTTTTGGGCTGCTTTCACAGGGGTTTTGTTCTGCAGAGAGGCTGACAGAGTCATCCTCACCACCTGCCAGGAGAAGGGAGCTCACCTGGACACCTTCCACGCCATCTCCCAGAAATTGGGCAACAAGACAGCCAGTGAGGTGAGGGGTGGTGTGGGAGAGGGGCTGGGAAGGTGGGAGGTGTTGTCCTACCAGTCTCCCAAACTTCAATTTGATGAAAAAAATCAAAACCAAACCAAACTCTGCTCTGGTTTAGTGGTGCCAAAAATCCCCTGTGCCCTGGTCCTTCTGACAGGGTCACCATTGATATTTGAGCTGCACATTTGGTACTGGAGTTGTTTCTGTGGCTGCTACTCAGGTTTTCAGCCTCCTGCTTCTGTTTTTGCCTCTGGATCCTCCCAAACTGCCAGATTTTACCTGGAGAATGTAACTTTCTTCCAGAGAAATCAACCACCCAGTGCTCTTCCATTCCTCTTCCTTTATGCCCGACTCCTGTTTGAAATGCCATCGTGGTATTGAGACAGAGAGAAAATTTAACAGGGTAGAAATCCATTTGGATTTAGGTGAAATGTGCCACTTTGAGCTTGCAAAATGTGCTGTTTAGTCTGGTGACTGCAACCCTAGCAGAACTACCCCAGCTGAGGAGAAAGAATGCAAATTTCCACACTAAAAGATAAAAGACTCCTTAGACTTTAAAACAGACAGGGCACAGTGACCCAGGAGTCCTTTCTGTACTTACTAACAAAAAATTATAAAATTATGATTTTTTTTTTGTGTTACAAAACACCTTGAGCTGTGAAATAGGAAATTCCAGTTCCATGACAGCTCTGGGGTCACTTTTCACCCTGGATTTCCCTTTTCTCCAGGTGTCCCACAGGTTCAGGGAGCTGATGAGGCTGTTCCACACGTCCTGTGATGGCAGCTCTGAGGATGAGGAGGATGCCACCAGCACCAGCAACACAGACCAGCTGTCAGACAAAGATCTTCTGCTTTCTGAGGAAGAACCTGATGACTGAGGTGATAAACTACTGACTGCACCAGAAGAGGGTTTTTTTTTGGTTTTTTTTGGTTTTTTGCCAGTTTGCTGCTAGACAGGTGCTGTGGAAAAACGTTTGCACAGGTACTTGAGACAGCACCTTCATTTATTTTGTTCAATTTCCAGCCTGTACCAAGCCAAAGGCAGGAAATAAAAGGAGAACATTCTCTAGAACCTCCCTGAGGAGCTTCAGCAGTGAAATAACAGAATTTATGGACGCTGACCCGGCCTTGGGGTGAAGGTGGGGCCCAGCAGCCTCTGCCCAGGACCTGTAAATATTGTCAGTTTTCATGTGGAACAAACACATGACTTTTTCCAAGTTCTCCCCTCGTGCTGATTGTGAGATAGTTCCAGTCTGAATTCTCTATTTATTGTGTGGGTTTATTTGAACAGGCAGAGCAAATCCACTTTGCACAGCTGAAAAAACCCAACCAAAACACATATAAAACCAGCTCCCCAAAAAAGCAGCTTTCCTCCTTTGCAACACAACTGTGAGCCCCAGAAGTAAGATTTTTTTGGTAAAATGAGAAGAAAGCAGCAGCTGGGCCATCTCCAAAACCATTCCCTTTATTTTGGGAGTCATCTTAACGGCAGGAAATAAAGCTGGGTTAATCTGAATCTGCTTCATCCTCGGATCCATCTGCTCCAAATCCTGTCTCATAGCACTGGGCCAGGGTTTTTATCTCCTCCAGGGCCTCCTGGAAGTCGTCCTGCTCCAGCCCAGCCGTGCAGAAGCTGCTCCAGTGCCTCACGTTGGGCGCCTGCAGCTCCCGGCAGAGCCCCCAGAGCAGCCTGTGCAGGCCAGGGGAGCTCTGCAGGGCTGCCAGCACGGGAATGCTCTCAACATCTGCAGAGTGACAGGCACAGAAGGGGTTAAACAGCCTACAAAATCTCAGCCCTTGCTCTCTGTGCTGCTTCACCAGCAGCTGGATCGCTGGAACTTCACGACTCCGCCTGCTGGGTCAGTTTGTTGGGAGTAACTTTTGGTTTGTTATCAATAGTTTTGGTTTGTTATTGGTAATTTTTACCTCTCTTAGGCCCTGCTCTCTCTGTTGCAGAGTTTAAAGGGGTATTTTGTTACCTGCTGAGGAAATTCCCTGAGCTTTGTCCAGGAGGAAGCCTCGTCTGGTCAGGAGAGGAGAGAAGAACTGAGGGAAGGGAGGTTGGGTGTGACAGGGCTGCTGGAGCACGTGGGATGTGCTGTGAGGAGATGAATAAAGTCACCCAGAGCTCCCTGAACCGTTCCCTGTTCTAAACCAGCCCCAAGTGAAGCTCTAAAGCTGCACCCACCTGAAGGCTCCGGGGAATTGGGTGTGCAGGTACTGCTGGAGCACCTGCTCAGGGCTCTCACAGCTGTGCAGGGGGGACCTGCAAAGGAAATTCAGCATTTCCCAGCCTGAAACCATCCATGCCTCAGCTGCTTTTTAGCTGTTTTGCTCTAAAATTAGTAACACTCGACTAGATTGCGCCTCTTGGAATGGAGGAAGTCTGGATTCCTCAGGGGAAGAAGTGCAGCTCAGATGCTGAATTTACCTGGTGGCTTTCTCTTGGCAAATTCCTCGTAGCACAACAGACTGAGCAAAGCAGCAGCTGCCCTTTTGCTCCTTCCACGAGGACAGAAGTTTCCAGGGCACGTCCTGGTGGGCACTTAAAATATCAGGGAGCGAGGAGCCCGACAAGGCAGGGAAGGGAAGAGCTGCCCACGCAGCCACAACCTGGATTGGGGTGACAGAGTCTGGAGCACGCTCCTGGCACAGCTGGGGGCGTGCAGAACAGCTGCAGCACAGCTGGAAGGCATCCTCACCTTCCTCCCAGAGAAGGTGAGGGAGTCAGCAAAGTGCAGCATGGAGCCCTGGGAGGAGCAGAGCCTGTAGGGAGCTGTGAAGGTGTCCAGGGCTGCTGCCAAAATCGAGCTGCTGTGGTAGTTCAGGGATGCCTGGGGAGGAGACAAATGCAGGAATCACAGCACAGGTCATTCAGCCCTTCCTTAACCCAGTTTTGTGTATTTAACTTAAGTGGTGCCTTTAAAAGAGGCGTTTTTCAGTTATTTCAGGGATGGGATAAGCAGCCAGTGTGTATCTGTAGTTCCAGCCCAGCTGTTTGCCAACTTTGGTGCCAGTTTCCTTATCTTTCTTTGGCTCCTCAGGGCTCCAGTGAGGCTGGAGTTACTCCAAGCATGGAGAATAATGTAGAAAAGCATTTTCAGTGCCAACACTGCAGGCAGCACCCCACCAGAAAGCACAACAGCCAAGGAAATGCGTTAATATTTTCAAAAGTGGGAAGAAAACTACAGAAATTAAGCAGGGAAAGGTCTCTGCTGAGCAGAACAGCACCGTGAAAAACCACCCAGCCACAGGAAACACTTTGAGAGGGGTAAAGCTGCAGGAGCTCGAAGCCAACCATGGTGGGTGATGCCAATCCAGGACTTACGTTGTATTTTATGTATGGAAAGGTCACAGGAGGTTCTGGCTTGATTCCCAAACTCCCACTGAGTGACAGGGGGCAGAAGAGAGAGCTGTGACGGGAGAGGTGGGCAATGCCCAGGGCCGTGTTCACCAGCCTCTGAAAACTCTTCTGAAGGTCCTGGGGGAATAAAAATCCAACCACTGGAACCTCGAGGAGCAGACAACCTGTCAAAGGCAGGCGACAGGAGACAAGAAGAACCTTGTTCTTGGTTCTCCCCATTGTTTACTCACTCCCACAGGACTCAGGACTGGAGTCAGGCCCCAGGTCAGGATCCCTTTCCGTGAATATTCATCGTGGAGCAGCTCTGTCACCTTGGCACCAACTCCAGAGAATCCATTGTGCAGGTCACAAAGGACCTGAAACCCCTGTGGGAATAAACAGCAGCACCTCAGATTCTGCTTCACCCGGAGCAGGAAGCTTCTGGAAAGCCAAGGGAGCTTGGAGAAGGTGTGAACCTGAAGGTAATCACACTCCTCAACATAGAAATGCAGCCGATCTTCCAACTCCTCCACGCAGGCAGGGTCCTGCAGGAGACTTTCACCTTGCCCAAAGGCTTCGAGACAACCACAATCCCTAAGGGGAAAAAGGGGTGAAGAGGGGTTATTTTATCCCTTTTATTCACTCTTGAAGGCAAAACTCGGCTGCTTTTTTGGGTTCTGGAGCAAACCCCTGGCCGTACCCATCGTGCAGGTACTGCCGGATCACGTAGACGCTCTTGGGGTGCAGGTGCACGTTGAGGTAATCGGACCAGAGCCTCACCGAGGGAGGGTCCTGGGAGCCCACAGGAGCTGCAGCTGCAGGGAGGCAGAGGGAGAGCAAAGGTTTGTGAGCTCTGAGCATCCCTGTGAATGCAAAATCGGTTTTCTAAAATGATCTGAGCATCCCCGTGGATGTAAAATCAGTTTTCTAACGTGCTCTGAGCATCATCTTTCAGTTCTGAGCATCCCCATGGATGCAAAATCAGTTTTCTAACATGCTCTGAGCATCCCCTTTAGCTCTGAGCATCCCCATAAATGTAAAATCAGTTTTCTGACATACTCCGAGCATCCCCGTGGATGTAAAATCAGTTTTCTAACATGACTCAGAGTATCCCCTTTCAGCTCTGAGCATCCCTGTGAATTTAAAATCAAGTTCTCTAACATGCTCTGAGCATCCCCATAAATATAAAATCAGTTTTCTAACATGCTCTGAGCATCCCCATAAATGTAAAATCAGTTTTCTAACATACTCCGAGCATCCCCGTGGATTCAAAATCAGTTTTCTAACATACTCTGAGCATCCCCTTTCAGTTCCGAGCATCCCCATAAATGTAAAATCAGTTTTCTAACATGCTCCAAGCATCCCCATAAATGTAAAATCAGTTTTCTAACATGCTCTGAGCATCCCTGTGGATGTAAAATCAGTTTTCTAACATGCTCTGAGCATCCCCTTTAGCTCTGAGCATCCCCATAAATGTAAAATCAGTTTTCTAAAATGATCTGAGCATCCCCATGGATGTAAAATCAGTTTTCTGACGTGCTCTGAGCATCCCCTTTCAGTTCTGAGCATCCCCATAAATGTAAAATCAGTTTTCTAACATGCTCTGAGCATCCCCATAAATGTAAAATCAGTTTTCTAACATGCTCTGAGCATCCCCGTGGATGTAAAATCAGTTTTCTAACATGCTCTGAGCATCCCCGTGGATGTAAAAACAGTTTTCTAACATGCTGCAAGCATCCCCTTGGATTCAAAATCAGTTTTCTAACATGCTCCAAGCATCCCCATGGATGTAAAATCAGTTTTCTAACATGCTCAGAGTATCCCCTTTCAGCTCTGAGCATCCCCATAAATGTAAAATCTCTGAGCATCCCCATGGATGCAAAATCAGTTTTCTAACATGCTCCGAGCATCCCCGTGGATGTAAAATCAGTTTTCTAACATGCTCTGAGCATCCCCATAAATGTAAAATCAGTTTTCTAACGTGATCTGAGCATCCCCGTGGATGTAAAATCAGTTTTCTAACATGCTCTGAGCATCCCCTTTCAGCTCCAAGCATCCCCATAAATGTAAAATCAGTTTTCTAACATGCTCCGAGCATCCCCATAAATGTAAAATCAGTTTTCTAACATGCTCCGAGTATCCCCATAAATGTAAAATCGGTTTTCTAACATGATCTGAGCATCCCCATGGATGTAAAATCAGTTTTCTAACATGCTCAGAGTATCCCCATGGATTCAAAATCAGTTTTCTAACATGCTCCAAGCATCCCTGTGGATTCAAAATCAGTTTTCTAACATACTCTGAGCATCCCCATGGTTGTAAAATCAGTTTTCTAACATGCTCCCAGCATCCCCATAAATATAAAATCAGTTTTCTAACATGCTCCGAGCATCCCCGTGGATGTAAAATCAGTTTTCTAACATGCTCTGAGCATCACCTTTCAGTTCTGAGCATCCCCATAAATGTAAAATCAGTTTTCTAACATGCTCTGAGCATCCCCATGGATGTAAAATCAGTTTTCTCAACATACTCTGAGCATCCCCATAAATGTAAAATCAGTTTTCTAACATACTCTGAGCATCCCCGTGGATTCAAAATCAGTTTTCTAACATGCTCTGAGCATCCCTGTAAATGCAAAATCAGTTTTCTCAACATACTCTGAGCATCCCCTTTAGCTCTGAGCATTCTCTTTCAGCTCTGAGCATCCCCATAAATGTAAAATCAGTTTTCTAACATGATCTGAGCATCCCCATAAATGTAAAATCAGTTTTTTAACTTCTCCAGTTTTTTAACTTTCCATTTTTTGGCCCATACGCTGCTCTGCCCCAGCTCCCCGTAAGCCGAGCACCCTCATCCCGTGGTTTCCCTTCTCCCCGTTCACCGACGCCTGGTCCCGCCGGGAATTCCGCTGTGGGAGAACGAGCCCGCACCGGCCCCGCGCACAAACCTGTCCCCGCAGCACCGGGATTCCCCTTCCCGTCACCGGCAGCGTCTCCCTACGGGAACAATCCCGGCGCGGCCGTTACCGGGGGCGCTCCGCCTCGTCCCCGCTCGTGTCCCGGGCACGGAGCCGCGCTCACCCCGCGGCTCCCGGTGTTCCCGGTGTTCCCGGTGCTCCCGGTGTTCCCGGTGCTCCCGGTGTCCCGCGGCGCGCGCTCCCGGTAATCGGCGACGGCGCCGTCCCTGCGGCACAAAGCGGCGGCAGCTGCGGGCACCGGCGGCGAGAGGAGATCCCGTTCCCGTCCCGCCCGGTCCCGTCCCGTACTCACCAGGTCACCGGCGGCTCCGTGCCCGCCCCGGCGGCTCCGAGCGCGCCCACGCCGCCTGCAAACACAGCCCGGTCACGGCGGGGCCGCCCGGCAACGGTACCCGGTAGCGATACCCGGTACCCGATAGAGTTACCCGGTACCCGTACCCGGTAGCGGTACCCGATAGCGATACCCGGTACCCCGTAGCGATACCCGGTAGTGATACCCGGTACCCGGTAGCGGTACCAGGTACCCGGTAGCGGTACCAGGTACCGGTACCCCGCAGCGATACCCCGTAGCAGCACCCGGTACCCGGTAGCGGTACCAGGTACCCGGTAGCCGTGCCCGGTACCGGTACCCGATAGCGATACCCGGTACCCGATAGCGATACCAGGTACCCGGTAGCGGTACCCTGGTGCGATAGCCGGTAACGGCACCCGGTACCCGGTAGCGGTACCCCGTAGCGATACCCGGTACCCGGTAGCCGTGCCCGGTACCCGGTAGCGGTACCCCGTAGCGGCACCCGGTACCCGGTACCTCCCCACCCACCCACCCACCCACCCGTCCCCCGGTACCTTTCAGCTCCAGCGCCACCAGCCGCGGCGCGGGGGTCTCGGTGCCGCCGGGGCCGCGGCCGAACCGGAGCAGCGCGGCCGCGCGGAGCTCGGCGGGCCCGGCGGGGCCGCGGAGTGCGGCGGCCTGGCGGGGAACCGGGGCGAGAGGAGATCAGAGCGAGCCCCGCTCCCGGTCCGACCGAGCTCATCCCCGTCCCGCATCCCCCCGCACCTGCAGCCCCCACCAGTGCGCGCCCACGCAGCCCGAGTAGTGCCCGAGCTGCAGCGTGACCGCCTCCCCCGGCATCGCCCCGCAGGAACCGGGAGCGCGTCACGGCCGGGCCCGCCCCGGACGGGCGGGGACAGCGGCGGGGCCGGGCCCGCCCACGGGACGCGGACACGGAGAGCGGGGAACGGAGCTTTTATTGCGCTATAGGGGTCCCGCCAGCCGGTCCAGCTGCCGCGGGTTGGAGCCGCTGAGGAACTGCAGCTCCGCCTTGCCGTCCTCAGTGCGAGCTGCGGGAGAGAGGGAGAGGGAGATGGAGGGGCTGGGGGGGAGATGGAGGGGCTTGGGGGGGAGAGATGGAGGGGTTTGGAGAGAGATGAGAGGGATGGGGGAGAGATGGAGGGGATGGGGGAGAGATGGAGGGGATGGGGGGGAGATGGAGGGGCTGGGGGAGAGATGGAGGGGTTGGGAGAGAGATGGAGGGGTTGGGGGGGAGATGGAGATGTTAGGGGACAGATGGAGGGGTTTGGAGAGAGATGGAGGGGATGGAGGAGAGATGGAGGGGATGGGGGATAGATGGAGGGGCTGGGAGAGAGATGGAGGGGCTGGGGGACAGATGGAGGGGTTGGGGGAGAGATGGAGGGGCTGCGGGAGAGATGGAGGGGTTGGGAGGGAGATGGAGGGGTTTGGAGAGAGATGGAAGAGTTGTGGAGAGAGATGGAGGGGATGGGGGGAGATGGAGGGGTTTGGAGAGAGATGGAGGGGTTGGGGGAGAGATGGAGGAGTTTGGGGGAGAGATGGAGGGGCTGGGGGGGAGATGGAGGGGTTGGGGGGGAGATGGAGGGGCTGGGGGAGAGATGGAGGGGTTGGAGAGAGATGGAGGGGCTGGGGGGGAGATGGAGGGGATGGGGGAGAGATGGAGGGGCTGGGGGGAGATGGAGGGGCTGGGGGGGGGAGATGGAGGGGTTGGAAGGGAGATGGAGGGGTTGGGAGAGAGATGAGAGGGATGGAGGAGAGATGGAGGGGATGGGGGAGAGATGGAGGGGTTGTGGAGATGTGGGTTTCCCCTCCCCAGCTCTGACCTTTCTCGTGCTGCAGCCACCTGCGCTCCAGGTAGTAGCCGTAGCAGCTCTCGAACTCCCTGGGGCTGTAATTTGGGACTGGGATGGGCACAAAGGGGTCCAAGGCATCGAAGCCCTCCTGGGGAGAGAGGTCACTCAGGGTCAGTGCTGGGGACACAGCCCCAAAAACCTCCAACAGCTCAGTCATGGACTTGTGGAATACCCAGAGTTGGAAGGGACACACGGGGATCACCCAGTCCAGCTCCTGGAGACACCCCAAAAATCCCATCCTGTGCCTGGGAGTGGTGTCCAAACTCTCCCGGAGCTCTGGCAGCCTTGGGGCTGTGACATTCCCTGTTCAGTGCCCAGCACCCTCTGGAAGAAGGTACCCAGCCCAACCCTCCCCTGACACAGCTCCAGAAATTTCCCTGGGTCCTGTGCAGGTCACAGAAATCAGAGCTGCTCCTCATCCTCCAGACCCTTCACCACCCTCGTGTCCCTCCTTTGGACACTCCAGCAGCTTCAGACCTTTCACAGATGGTGATGCCCAAATCCCTCCTTGTCCCTGTGCCTGGCACACCCCAGGACACTTTTGGCTCCCCTGGCTGTCAGGGCATTGCTGATCCAAAGGTGGGTGTGATCCACTCACAGAGACCCTGAACAGCGTCCCCTTGAGCAGAACCAGGTCACCAACCAAGATTTTTGTTTGTTTTCCAATGTGAAGAGGGGGAAAAACCCCAAAAGAAAAAAAAAATAAATTATTCACCTTTCCCAGCAGCTCCTGGGGAGTGTAGGCTGAGCTGGGTTTGAAGAGCGAGCCAGTCTGGCTGAGGGTGGTCACGATGGCACCTCCACTCTGGAAGGCAGATCAGAAATAAAAATTCTATCAGTGCTAGTTAGTTTAGGATCAACCCCTGAGGCATCTTTTTCTTGGAGGATGGAGCTGCTGGAGCAAGTCCAGAGGAGCCCCTCTGCCTGAAGGGGCTCCAGGAGAGCTGGAGAGGGGCTTGGGACAAGGGATGGAATGGCAGGACAAGAGGAGATGGTTTCACAGTAACAGGGCATGGATTTTGGGATTTTGGGAAGGAATTCTTGGCTGTGAGGGTGAGGAGGTGCCCAGGGAAGCTGTGGCTGTCCCTGGATCCCTGGAAGTGCCCAAGGCCAGGTTGGATGGGACTGGGAGCAGCCTGGGACAGCAGAAGGTGTCCCTGCCCACAGCAGGGGGTGGGACTGAGTGGGCTTTAAGATCCCATTTTGGGATCTGGATTCTTCAAAAATTCTACAAAGATTAACTTTTTACGATGCTCCTGACCACAGGGGAAAATAAATACACAGCTCATGTTCCCAGGGCTGGCATTAAAACTTTTCTTACCTATAATGGGTTTTTTATGCCAACAAGTACTTTAAATGGATTTTCCTATACACCTTTAAATCTGCAGCCTACTTGTTCCAGCTCTGAGCATCCAGGGGATTGAAAAAGCAGCAGGAAGAGCAAAATGTTCAGAAATTCTCATGAGCTCAAAGAACTCAAAATGTCCCAAGGGGTATCAAACACCTCCAGCTCAGGGTCCTCCAGCAGAGTTGGGCAGGGGAATCAGGAAATGCTGCTACAGATTCCAGCTGTCCTCATTCTCTGGTGGTGACACTGGTGACACACTGCTGCTGTGTCTGTGCTCTCCTGGACTCGTGGTTTTGGGTTTGTGGCAGATTTAAGTGCTGGGATTGAAGTGCTGGGACAGAGAGAGGCAAAAAGCAGAGCTTGGAACTCACCCAGTCGTTCTTCACCATCTTCCTCAGGTTGTGCACGAGCGTCAGCTCCTCTGGAGAGACCTGGTGGAGATTGGCTGCATCACTATTTTATTGCCAGCAGCTTCTAGCTGAGACACAAATTCCCCTCCCCTCCTCCCAGCGAGGCTGGCAGGATCATTTCTATCCTTCAGTTTTTTTAAATTTTGTTTTCCCTTCGCCCTGCAGCATCGAGCCTGAGTCATGCTGCACTGAGCAACACCCAGGCCCTGCCTCTCCAACACCCACCTGCACTTCTGCCTCAGGGAAAAATGCAATAAAAATTGTCTAAAGCACAACATGAACCTTTCAGGCCCCTTCAAAGCCTGGACATTTTCAGGGATTGTCACAGAAGTAAAACTGAACCAAACAGCCCCCCTGCAGCAGGAATCAGGGCTGTCCCCAGGGCAGAGCTCTGGGGGAATGAAGAGGGGGGGATGATGCCTTAGGATTTTAGCTTTCATAATTTTAATATATTTTTCTATTTTTTAAATATTTTATATTTTTTCTATAGTTGTAATCCTGCGATTCTTTGGTGTATAACTCTAAATTCCATATACAATGCTAACTGCAGCTTTCCCATTTTGGTCAGACACAACAATTCTTCTCCAGGCCTGGGAATTAAGGACACCTCACTGCCTTAAGCCTTGAAAAATACAAACAAAAGTGAATTGAGAGAAACAAACTTGGGGTAAATGACTTCATTACCTAAAGCTGGAATTGGAACATTAACCCTCAATATGCAAAAAGTGTAAAAACCTGCGACCCATCATCCATTTTTTGCGTGTAGGCCAAAATGTACCTGAAGGCCCTTCAATAAATAGAATTGCTTTTATTCCCTTAGTTTTGTCTGGCCTCTGTTGTTAGGTAGCCCAATCTGTGGGAGAGGTTTTACAGTGAATTTTGTGAGCAGAGAGAAGTTTGATGAGAGGATCCATGTTTACACCTTAAAGAGTTTCCTGCCAAGGCTGACAACATAGAAACCAAGAAAGAAAGAAGGATAAATATGAGAAACCTGCAACAGCCTATTCCAATATTCCCTTTTTTGTCTTTCCTGACCAATGAGTATAGTGAAAACTTAAGAGTTTTGTAGGAATGTGGAAAAAGCCTGCTAGAATAAAACCAGCTTTAAAGCAGCCTGAAAAGGGAGTGTTGCTTGCTCTTGTGACTGTCCCAGCTACAAGAGGCATCATCCTCACAGGGCTCTTATTGTAGCCCAAAAAGGCACCTGTGGAAGAGGTTTTACAGTAAATTCTGTGAGCAGAGAGAGAAATTTGATGAGAGGATCGATGTTTACACCTGAAAGAATTTCATATCAACGTTGACAACATAGAAACCAAGAAAGAAAGAAGGATAAATAACAGAAACCTATTCCAATATTCCTTTTTTTGTCTTTCCTGACCAATGAGTAAAGTGAAAACTTAAGAGTTTTGTAGGAATGTACAAAAGCATGCTAGAATAAAAGCAGCTTTGAAGCAGCCTGAAAAGGGAGTGTTTGCTCTTGTGACTGTCCCAGCTACAAGAGGCATCATCCTCACAGGGCTCTTGTCATAGCCCAAAAAGGCACCTGTGGAAGAGGTTTTACAGTAAATTCTGTGAGCAGAGAGAAATTTGATGAGAGGATCCATGTTTACACCTGAAAGAATTTCCTGTCAAGGCTGACAACATAGAAACCAAGAAAGAAAGAAGGATAAATAACAAAAACCTATTCCAATATTCCTTTCTTTGTCTTTCCTGACCAATGAGCGAAATGTAAATTTATGAATTTTGTAAGAATGTAGAAAAAGCCTGCTAGAATAAAACCAGCTTTGAAGCAGCCTGAAAAGGGAGTGTTGCTTGCTCTTGTGACTGTCCCAGCTACAAGAGGCATCATCCTCACAGGGCTCTTGTCCTCCCTGCTCAGCGTGGTCCTTCCCCAGAGCGCGTTGACGCCGTCCACGGCCACCAGGAGCCGGAAGGAGCCGCGGTGGCTCTGCTGCTTGAGCTCCCTCAGCACCACCCCCACGGCATCACTGGCGCTCCTGACCCGAGCCAGACCCTGCAGGGAGCACAAGGAGCACAGCTCAGCCTGTTTCAGTCTCAGCATGGAAGATTTAGCAACCTCTGTTTGCCACCTGGCAGAGCTGGGGCTGTTCATGGGGCAGTTTTTTCTTTATCTCTCCCACAACCCATCCTCCCTCCAGGAGATATCTTCTGTTTGTGGGCCATTAATTATTAATTATCTTCTGTGTGTGAGTGTCCCTGCATGGCTGAGAAAATTCCACCATCCCTGCTCTGCCCAGGGGGAGGAGCCAAGAATTCCTACTTGGATATAATCTGGGATTTTGGGACACCAGAACAGCTTTTCCCTCATTCCCAGAGGAGCAGCTTTCCTCCCCACTGCCTTCCCAGGGGAAGCCCAGGCCCATCTCCACCACCCCTGGACTTTCAGAGCAAAATCCACCCTTCTACCAGATCCCTGCTTCAATAAAATCACATTTGTCACCCAAAAAAAACCAAACTGCAGCCACCATTTAATGACACTGCTGCCACCACCCTGACCCACAGGTGTCAGGGCAGATTCTGACTCTGTCAATGTATTTTTTTCACTATTATTACATTTGTATTTTTAGCTTTCCTGGTAAAGAACTGTTATGCCTACTCCCATCTTTGCCTGTGAGCCTTTTAATTTCAAAATTATAATAATTCAGAAGGAGGGGGTTTACATTTTCCATTTCAGGGGAGGATCCTGCCTTCCTTAGCAGACACCTGGCTTGTCAAACCAAGAGAATTTCTTGCTAGGGGGTGACTTTTGGGCAGCCCCTCCAGGGGAAGACAAACTGACAGTCAACAACCTCTTCCAAGAGCATCAAAACACGGGAATTTCTAACTCTAACTTTATTTTCTATCCGAATTCTCTGTACAATTTTCTTTACAGCTCCTCCACAACATCTTTTGTTGATAGGGAGACACTTTCTATCTCCCAGGACCCGTATCTCTAAGATCTTTAGGAGCAATCTGTTCCAAAAACTCTGGTACAAGGTGAGACCACACCAGCAGCAGTGGCTGCTCCTTACCTGCTCCACCACTTCCCTCAAAGGTCTGCCCTCCTCTGTGCTTTCTCTTTTGCCCCACGTGTATTTCTTTTGTGTTTTTATCTGTGGGAAGAAAACCAGGATGAGATTTGGGGATGATAGGAGGCAAAGCAAGGCTGGATTGCAGAATCTGGGAGAAGTATCCACCAGCAACAGCCATCCCCACGGAGAGGATCTAAACTGCTTTTCCTGAGGGTGGTGGGTGGGGGTTGCAGCCACAAACCTCTTGCAGGAAACGTTCATTGGAGGTTTTGAAGTTCTTGAGCCACACAGAGGCCTGCAGAGGTTGATCCAGCCGGTCTTTGTTGTAGGAAGACTGAAAAAGCTCCTTGCAGTTCTTCACCCAGAGATGAGCTGTGAGCGAAATAAAACAGTTGTTTTGAATTTTATTTCTGTTTTTTAGTCAAAATAATGGTGTGAGGTGGGGATGGTAGGGGTGTTTGTGTTGCTTGTCTTTATTCTGCAGCTCTGGTAAGGAAAGTCACAGAATCACAGCATGGTTTGGGTTGGCAGGGACCTTAAAGATGAACAATCCCAATTCTCACAGCAGAGCTGCTCCCCTGATCCCTCTGATCATCTTGGTGCCCCCTCTGCATCATTTCCACAGGGAATGTTGCTGTGGGGCACCCCAGAGGTGGGTACAGCTCCATCCTTCCTGGAGAACTCTCCCTTGGGATCAGAGGAGGCCACACAGACCCAAAAAATCTCTTCCCAATAGAGAAAACCACCCTGGCCCAAAGGATGTGCAAGCAGGTGAAAATAACTAATTATGCTCTATTTTATTTGGGGGTTTTGTGTTTTATGAGCTTTTTCCACTAGAGAAAAACAGGGATAGATTGTGGTGGGATATCCTGCAGCTCCTGAAGCAGCTGCTTTTGGTGTTTGGTGTGGGATATCCTACAGCTCCTGAAGCAGCTGCTTTTGGTGTTTGGTGTGGGATATCCTACAGCTCCCGAAGCAGCTGCTTTTGGTGTTTGGTGTGGGATATCCTACAGCTCCTGAAGCAGCTGCTTTTGGTGTTTGGTGTGGTAACAGCCCTGGTTTTCTCACCATCCGGGACGTGCAGCACCAGCCAGCCCTGCCTGGAGCAGTAGTGAACCACGTGGCACAGGGTCATGGTCTTCCCTGTTCCTCTCTCACCATCTCCAACGAGGACTGTCAAGGAAAGTCTCTGAAAAAAACGTTTCAGTTCGTACTTGACTGTGATTCCTCCAGAAAGGGGGTTCAGAAAGGGCACAAAGAGCTCGTCAAAGCAGACCCAGAAAGTTCTTTCCCTCTGTCCCCCACCCCACTGAGCAGAACTGAGGAGCCCCTGCCCTGTGTGCTGACCCTGCCACGAGTTAGAACAAAGTTATCCAAGCTCTGAGCTCCCTGAAGTGCCTGCACCGAGCACAGACCACGGGGCACAACCACCTCCTGAAGACCTCAGCAGCTCAGGGTCACAACCACCCTCTGCCCTGCACAAAATTCTCGTGTTTCTCTTCATCCTACCCTCAAATTCAAGGATACAGATCACATATCTGACAGCAGGGTGGGCAAAGTTGGAGCCCTTCAGGTAAGCCAGGATCTCCAGCGCCGGCTTCCGCACCATCACCCGCGCCTCGTTGAAGGTCTGGATCTGAGACAGGACCAAACTGTCACCAAACTGCCACCCAGGGACACCTCCAGCCCTGCTCCAGCCCTGCCTGGAGGCTCCCAACACCCCCAGCTCTGCCCAGCAGCACCCACAGGGTTGGGCAAGCAGCACTTGAGAGGTGGGCAACTGCTGCTTGCCCTTGGTGAAAGGATTTTCTCCGTGCCCAGGAAGGATTTTTTGGGTCACCTGCTTTTCCTACAGCAGCTGCAGAGCAGCAGAGGGTGGTGGGTTGGTTTTGTTGCAGATATAAACTTATTTCATGAGACAGCCTGTTTCACACAGAAATACAGCCACGTGCAAGAGGTTTTACAGAGAATTCTGTGAGCAGAGAGAAGTTTGATGAGAGGATCCATGTTTACACCTTAAAGAATTTCCTATCAAGGTTGACAACATAGAAACCAAGAAAAAAAGAAGGATAAATAAGATAAACCTGCAACTGCCTATTCCAATATTCCTTTGTTTGTTTTTCCTGACCAATGATTAAAGTGTAAATTTGTGAATTTTGTAACAATGTAGATAAAGCATGCATGCTAGAATAAAACCAGTTTGAAGCCTTCTGAAAATGGAGTGTGCTGCTTGGTATTGTCTCTGTCCCAACTATGACACAGCCATGGAAAATATTTCTGTAATTCTTTTTGTGCTTGGATGTTAGAGATGAAAACACCAGCAAGGGCCAGGAATCCCTGCACTCTGCTCTCTGTTGTTGGAGTAATTTTTAGTTTGGGGTAGTTTTGTGTGGTGGAAAAATTTTGGTTTTGTGTTTTTAAAGAAAGGTTTAGTAGTTTTTGTTGTTTGGTTTTAAGGTAGTTTACTGTAAGTTATTTAAAAGATTGGTTTTTTGGGTTGTTGTGGTTTGTTTAGTAGTTTAGGTAAAGGTATATATACTTTTAGATATTATTTTTGTGGGTTTTTTGTTTATTTTGGGTTGTTGTTCTTTTTATATGGTGCATTATGTGTTAAATGTTTATAGTTTTTAATGTTTATTATTTATATTAAATGGTGTTTTTTATTTTAAATTAATTTGTGAGTGTTAATATTATTAAGAATATGGAGTTAAGGAAGAAGAAAGAGGGAGGACAGGATAGGCTTAAATTTTTTTATTTTAAAATTTTTGACTTTTATGTATAAAATTAAAACTTTTTTGTATAGGACTTAAACCCCCCCTGTATAGTATTTTTTTTGTGATTATTTTTATTATAATATTTAAACTTTTGTGATTTGTAAGGCTGGTAAATTATTTTATGGTTTCAATTGAAAATGATAGTTGTTTTTAGTTGTTTGCTAGGGTTTTAAATGTTTTTGACTTGGATTTGTGTGTTCCAAGCTGGAATACCTGCTGCTGGAAACGATGGGGCAGCCCATGGGGGAACACAGCCTTCACCTCCTCCAGGGGGATGTTGTAGAGACGCCCCTCGTGCTGCTCCGTGTGCTTGGCCTGGAAGAATAAATGGGAATTTGCACCCTGGTGATGCCTCTTTGCTGCACACAGGGTGGCAATGCTCTCTGACTGGGAGGCAGTGCAAATAAAGCAGGAAACCCCAAAAAAGTCGGGTTTTTTTGGCACTAAACCCTGATCTCGTGTACAAACCGTGGTGTTTTGGAGGCACCACAGATTAACCTCACCTTTCAACAGTCCCCCCAAACCTTGCCAGTGGTGTGAGCTACCCTGCTGGTGTCACATTCCACTTTCTTTTATGACAAAATGATGTTTTCTGCCTTGTGCTGCCTCCCAACAGTGAGATTCCCGTGGTGCCATTTGGGGTTGGAGGCTTAAAAACTCCTCATCCCTTTTCTGGGGCAAGAATTTCCAGTCTCTTGTGGTGACCTCAGTGATCAGGGCTCCTCCTCCACTGGACTTGAATCCTGCTGCATTTATTTCTAGTGTTTACCCTGCAGGTCTCACCATAATGACAGCAAGAAGCTCTTGTCACTGGGATCTGAGATTTTAATTTAATTTCTGCCTCTTTCCTTTCGTTATTCTCTTTTCCTGCCATGCAATACCTGCAAAGCACTTACTTATTTCCTCTTGCTCAAGTCATCCTTTTTTGTGTCTTGTCTAATTAGGACAGTAAACAGAGGCTGCTCTGCAGCCCTTCCTGTGTGACTTTTAGCAGTTTTGTGTTAATCTTTGAAGCTTAGATCTTGTCCTGCTCTGCTTTCTGCATTTTTTTCCATGGATTTAAAGTAAAACTGTCCTTCTCTTTATTCCTGTTATATATAAAAACTGGAATGCACAACAACAAATATAACAATTTCCTTGTTTTCCTTATTTTACACACCAGCATTTCTGTGTGCAGGTGTGACTTCTGCCTGTTTGGCCAGGAATATTTGGCTTTTCCCAGCTCTTGATGGGCTCTTCATGGAGCACTGCTGGAAGCTCTGTTGCATATCCATGAATTTTCTGGCCCCAGGATCATTGTTAAATCTCCCTTCCCTTCTTCAGGATGGATTTGCAGCCTTTCAGCACAAAATACACCTCTGTTCTCACCTTCTGCCCCTTTTACTCAGCAACTACCCCTGTTCCACACCTCCCTAGGGTGTCCTGGACTCTGTGGTTTACCTTGGCACAGCTGCAGGATTTGAGGAACTCCTGATTCAAGGAATGATTTCCAGGAAATTTGGTAACTTCAGCGAAGGGTTGAGCTGCTGGAGCTGCCAAACTGGGCTTCACTGGTCAGGAAATCTTTGCAACAGGGGGGGAAATGTTAAATTCTGGCTGTTCAAGAGGTGCCCTGCTGTAAGGAGGCATCACCTGAGGATAAGTGTGAAGTGACACTTCTTTTTCCCAACCTTATTTCAAACTGTGGCTTCCCTGAAGTTCTCCTGCACGTGCTGGACACAACACTTGTGTTTTTTCCAGAAGAGCAGCACTCCAGAGCCTATTTTCATTCTCAGCTTTATCCCTGACTTGCTGCATGACTTTGGTCAAATTCCTTCACTCCCCTACATAATTTATCCTCGTGTTTAGTCACTTGGAGCTTTGCTAATGGAAGGGTAAACAAACCCTGATGAAAAATGTGGTGTTTGGTGGCTTTCTTAGTCCAAATTCAATGGGATTGCCTGGTGCAGGAGCTGGGGTGCCACCAGGGTTTGCTGCTGGAGTGACCCAGCGCTGGCCAAAGCTGTGCCAAAGCTGTGCCAAAGCTCAGGCACAAGTCAGAATGCCAGAGGAGCTGCCTGGCAACCAAAAAGCAGGCACAGGCCAGTGGGGACAATGGTGGCCATCTGGCCTGTGCTGTGCAATCCGTGGAGACGCGGGGTCACGTGCAGAATATCATCTCCCGCTGCCGTTTCCATAGAGACTCCAGAGGAATCAGCACGGAGAGATTCCAATTACACAGCAGCAGAAAAGCACCTCAAAAGGCTTCTTCCATCCATTTAGCTGCCCTTCATTTTGTGCTCCAGACAACAGAGCGTGAGGCTGGAATTGTTGATGCTGCAGAGCTGCGCTGAGGTTGGCCGGGGTGTGGTTTTTATCCCCTTCACAGCCAAATCCAGGCAGGTTTTCCAGGGAAGAATAACCCTGGAGTTGAAATTCATGGGGGGTGATGACAAGCTAAGCCCTGGCCCAGCTTCTCTGCATCTGTCTCTGATCTGTGCAGCTCTGGAGAAGGGATCAATACCTGTTCTACCCCTCAGGCAGAACAGCCACAGCCCGTTCCCTTGGAGCTGATCCCAAATTTAGCTCTGTGTACCCCCTTCCCTGGACCAGCAGAGTGCCAGGCAGCACTGCTGGCTGCCAGGATGGCCCCTGGTGGCACTCAGAGCTGGAACAGAGGTGGCAATCACTCACCGGGTCGCTCTCGCTGGTGTGGAAAATTGCTCGGGGCTTTTGTGCTGGGACATCCTGGCTGGACACAGAGCTCAGGCCAGCCCTGGATGTCGTGTGGAGGGCACAGCCACGCTCCAGCTGAGGGGAGAACAAGGCAAAGAGACAACAAAGCAGTCAGCAGGCAAGGATTGCTGGTGAAATCCAGCCCAGGGGAGTCTGCTCTGAGATCCCGCCGAGGCACGCGCAACCCAGAGCTGAACTCTGATTGCAATTAGAATGAAAACTCATCATTAGCATGGAAATTCATCAGGAAAACCCACATGCTGCAGAACCAGATTTCACATTTAGATACCTGCACTGAAACCATCCCCACCCGAGCCGGTTCCCCGAGCCAAGCCCTGCCCCTGAGTTTTACCCCACAGAATTCCTGAAGATCCCACATCCAGCCATTCTCACTGCTGGGAAGTGCCCACCATGTTTCTGCCTACACTGAGGAGTGGCAGCACCCTGAAAATTCAGGCTGTCTAGCAATCCATAATCACCTCAATTACCGAGGGATTAGTGCAGCACTGCCCACTGTTTGATATTTATAATTACACTCCCTACACTGATTTCTCTGTGTCCCTGCATCCACACTCTGGCATTAGGCTACAGACGTGGCTGAGAAACCAAAACAGCCAGCTAAGCTGATTAATTCATTTTTCCCCAGACAGACTGCTGAAGCCTGCCTGCAAAGCCCAGCCAAAACAGGCAAGGAAGTGAGCAGTGGCAGGACAAGCATTTTATTATGTTGTGGTGAAAGAAAACACAAACATTTGTCAATGATTTAGAAAGTGCATCCTCCAGACAGGCTCTAGAAGCTGAGAGCCCCTCGCAGCACTGACAGGGCCAGTTGCAGCTGAACAGAGGCAGCAGTTTCCTATTTTATCTGTCAGAATGCAAAGCTCAGAGCCAGGGACAGCTGGCTCAGCTCCCCGTGGCACCACACAGCTCTGCTGCCACCCCAGGGCTCCTCAGGGGGCCACTGCAAAGCCACAAGGGCTGCAGTGAAAGTGGAATTACCCAAATTCCAGATGCCTGAATTTGGCACTTGGGCACTTGCCCTCCTGTTAGGGAAGGAATGAAACCAGCTTGGACCCTCTGGAACAAACAGCTGCAGTGCAAACAGGGAGATTGTTGGAATTTGTGGTATTGATGACTCTGAGATTTTAGAAGGGTGTGTGTTTCTATGTAAACTTTGATATAAGAAATGTTGATTTAGAAATGTTATGGAATAGGATAGACGTTGTGGAGAGAAACTAAACCAGAAATAAGTTTCAAAAGATGGCTTTGCAAATAAGACTAAATACTTTGGAGAAATAGAACTATGAAAGATGTATTGTATTGACTCATGAGGGGTAAATTTAGATGATTAAAGTATTTGCAACATAGCGTAGCTAAAGTTGATAAGCTAATTATAGAGGACCATAATCAGGATTCAAATTAAACCACAAACTTTGGACACTTTGGAACCGTGGGCTGTGGGTGTGGAAGCACCAGGAGAGAGGGAATTACTCCTGAGGTGCTCCAAAATCAACACGGGCAACCCCGAGCTTCAGAGATACAAATTTGCATTTCACCAACCAGTTTCCATTTACAAAAAATCCACATTTCAAACCGCCTACAGACGGCTCAGGACATCCCTGAAACATTTTATATCCCGAGTTTATACTCTGAGTTTATATATTTATATTATATCCTGAGTTTGTATAGTTATATTATACCCTGAGTTTATATATTCATATTATACCC